GCGCGTCCCACCACCTCCCTCGCTCCCGCCGCCGACCACCGTCCGGGCGCGCCGCCTCCTCCCCGCGGCCCACGCGCTCTACCACACCCCCGCGCCCACCGACGCCAAGGCACAGGTCATGCGCGACCTCGCACGCGCGCGCGTGCGTCTCCCGGACTACGCCGCGCTCCGGCACACGCTGCGCTCGCCTGCGACAGGCGCCGCTGTAGAAGCCCCCACAGCGGCGGCGGCGGCGGCGGCGGGGCGTCATGCCAGATGCGCGGCTGCTGGGCACAGGTGCGCGTTTGGCGGCTTTTGAGGATTGGGAATGGCGCTGATGGTGTGGATCCTCGGCTTGTTGGGGGAGTACGCGGCACCTGGTTGCGGCGGAGGAGTGCTCAGCCTCGACGACGCGCTCAAGATCGTCGCGGGGCATGCGAGGCTCATTGGGCGGGAAGTGCGTGCCGGATGAGACGGGGCATATGTGCTGGCGGTCGAGGTGTCGCCGGCTGAGCTCGCGCGGTACATCGGTGGAAATCCAGAATACCATGGGCTGTCCAGCTGCGATGACGGTGCGATTGCTGGCGGACTCGCTCAGCTCGACAAGTTGCAGACAGAGCTCAAGGCTTCCGGACGCAAGTGCGCGCGAGTAAACGTACCGTGTGGTTACCATTCCAGCGCCATGAACCCTGTCCTCGATCATATTACTGCGCTGGCTTCTACCGTCAAGCTTAACGATCCAACGTCCACGGCACCGTCGTCGCCCCCAGAGACGCCTCTGTCTCCACTCCCGAGCACTTTCGCCCGCCACTGCGGCGAGCCTGTCAACTTTGAGTAGGGCATCCACGACCTGCCGTCCAAGGACGCCGTCTTGCTCTGGCTCGAGCTCGGCCCACACCCGACGTCACTCCCGATGCTGCGTGCAATACCTGCGACGTCGCACCAGGCACTGTATACCTGCCGACGCTCAAGAAGAACGTCGACGGCTGGCAAGTTTATCTGCAGCTCTCCCTCGCCAGCCTGTACACACCAGTAATGGCACCATCGAGCGGCGCAAGGTGTCCGCAGATTCGGCGCCGTCTGCGCGGCCGACCGAGCTGCAGGCGTATCCGTTCGCGAAGACGCGCGGTTCTGGGGTCAAGGTACGAGGAGGAGCCCGCTGTCGGGAAGAAAAGCTGCCGAGGCTGCTGTGCCTTCCGCCGCCCCGCGCTTCTCTCTCCTCGGCTCATGCCTGCATGTCCCTGCGCCAGGGTCCTCCGAGCCGGCGAGGTTCTGAGACGCCGATTGACAGAGTCGCGTACCTCATCGAGGGCCGTCGAGTTGCCGGCCATGCACTGTGCTCCTGCGTCGGTGTACACCGAGATGACGAGTGCGGCGGCACCGCTTGTGCTCGAGGAGCATAGGCGCTTCTACGGTGACTCGACGATCTCGCTGTCCGAAATCACACTTTCTCCAATCCGCTCGTGCATTCTCCAGACGTGCCGAGGACCATCCGCGTCGGGATCACGCCGGCTGATCCTGGAGACGAACACAGTGGACGCTTCTCCATATCTTCCTCCGTCTCCGACTCTAAGCAGTCTCGGTCGCACTGCGCTGGCTCTTTCACCCTCGCGTCCAAGGCACAGACCAAGTTCGAAGCTCTCGACCTGGTTGCCACCACCGTCGACCAGCGCCGACAGGCCGCAACCGAGTCGAAGCACGCCGAGACATTCTTCACGCGCACCCGCCTACGACCTCATCTTCTCCCGCATCGTCTCCTACAGCCCGACGTACCACACCCCATGAAGTCGATCACACTCGACCCGAATGGCGTCGTCGACGCCTACACGGCCGTTGCAGCTCCCGCGGGACACCCAGCCGAGAACCTTTGTCGCGCACCCGGTCTTCACGGACACGCTCCTGCACGCGGTCGGGTTCGTAGTCAAATTGCAACGCAGGCGCGAACGAGGCGTTCGTCTGCAGCCGGGTCGACAAGGTGAAGGTTCATCCCCGAGCTTGTCAAGACCGACGGGCGGTACGGGGTGCACTGCAACATCGGCTTCCTATCGGAGGGCGTCGCGTACGCCTTGGACCTGGACAGCGGGGAGATCGTCGCGACGACGAAGCGGGTGCAGTTCAAGAAAAGTTGCGGTTGAGCGGGTTCGCAGCTGTCCTTGCTTCTGCTTCGACCCGGTCTGGCGCTGCTCGGCCCCCCTCCTTTGTTGTTCATCCAACTCGGCCTCGGCCTGCTCCCAAGTCCAAGAACTTCGACTTTTTGCCGGCTGCTGTCTCTGTACCGCAAAATCTTCGGTGCTCGAGCAAGTGCAGAACGTCATAGCGGCCGTGCTTGGTGTGCCGCCGAAGGACATATCGGAGAGCAACGACCTGGAGCGCCTCGGACTCGACTCGCTGACCTCGCTCGAGGCGCACCACGCGCTTCGTTCAGTCCTCAGTGTGCCTCCCCCAGAGAGTCTCTTCACATCTTGCAAGACCGTCAAAGACACCTGTGCTGCCATTGCTGCTCCCGCGACACCACCCGCCGTCTGCTCCGGAGCGTCTACGCCGAGGACCTCAGAGAGTAGTACGCTGCACGAGCAAGACCACGATGCCGACGTCGATTGCGCGGCGACCCTTGCAAAGGTGCAAGGGGTTCATGTCATCGACGCTTGGTGTCCCGGTGAAGAAGCTCGGTACTAGGTAGGCTCGTCACGGTCCCCACGCCGGCTTCTTGTCGCGTCGCATCCCCTGCACAAAAGGGATGCAATAAAGACGCACGTGGTCCCCACGGAGCGCAGCGACCGGACCTGGCTGGTGAGTCTATGTACTATGGTGCGTCCGTAGCGACGATTTAGTGTATCTCCGCCAGTATCTGCTCCGCTCGGGACGGAAGCGTTAGGTCTAGTTCCGGTGACAAAGCGAGGCGGACGTTCCTTCGTCTCTAAACCATAGTATTGCTGTTTTATGGAGTGATTTCAGCCTCAGTGTCATACATGCATTCCTGTGTTTGCGATCATGTGAGTAGACCTTTTTCGTCGGGCGCTAATCTGCGTACATCTCTGCTTCGAGGAGCCGTAGTCGTGGGGGTCATTAAGCTCGCACCAGACGTAAATCAATTTTTTTGGAGGAGTGCCTCTTCACAGGGTTTGGCCATAACCTGGTTAGCCCTCGTCTGACGTAAGTCAAATTTTGGAGAGCGGCAGGTAAATATAAGAAAGCGCTATAGATGATGTCTTACCGTGCGAACGCTGGCCGCGGCAGTAGCGCCCCGCCTTCGATCGCAGTTGCTGCCCGCCGCCTCCTGGATACTGGCTCATAAATGCACCCTTGCTTAAACATTGACGAAGTTGTGCAGAATATTGTCGGGCATGCAGGAAATAACTCGACTCTCCATAGCCTTGCGCTAGCGTGCCGTGCATTCGTCGAGCCGGCAAACGATAGGCTGTGGGTCCATCTAAAGGGTCTCAAGCCCTTGGTCAATTGTTTGCCAGACTATCTGGTAGGCACATCTCAAACTTCTGACAATGTCCTGGTGAGCCCTTAATACACATTTTGGCCCGAGTGAACTTCCCCTTATCTCTCTTGCGATGCTGCGGCTATAGACTATCATCAAGCCTCCATTGCCAGCCGATTGGCAGAGGTTTCGGACCACGCCCGCCAAGTCAAGTCCCTCTGTGTCTGTATAGATGATGTAACCGAATACGCAGCGGACGAGGCCGCCGCTGAGATACCGGCGAGGCACCATCCCGATCCCATCCTGCCGAACCCCGCACACCCGATCCGGAAGAGCTCGGTCCTCGCGAAATATGCTCCGCTCTTCATTCAGCATACGCTTCTTACTCTCATATATACGCCCAAGATGGAAGACGAAATGCGTGCTGTTCTCAGATGCGTAAAGACGAACGCACCTCTCGTCGAAGAGCTGCGGCTCAACGACACCATCTACTCGGTATCGGGTGCCCTTGATACTGAAATCTCACAAACAATCACTTCCCTGAGCCGTCTAACTACTTTTATTTTCCTCTGCATTACACCACAATCCGAGTTTCTCATACATCTCTCGCGGCTCCCACTTTTGGCTACTCTCATGCTGCGTCTTGATGAGAACAACCAAGGCTCCTGGACTTCTCCTGCCTGGGGAGGCTTCCCCGCTCTGGACCGTCTTTTTCTCAGACCTTGCATAACCATGGGCAGTCTCATCGCTGCTACATCGCTCCTGCAAACGCTGTTGTCGTCGCGCCTCACCGCCCTCGAAGTCACTGTATCACCGCCAGCCTGCACCGAGGATTTCGGACGGCTCATGTTTGCTGTCGGCCATTTTCAGCGCCTGCAAATCTGTTTGGTCCCATGCCATCATCGACTGGGGCGACGTGATCGCTGACGGAAGCATGCTCTCGCCTCTGTACCAAATCTCAAGTATGCGGATATTTGAACTGGAGTGTGCACGGATAACATTCGAGCCGGAAGCAGTTCATGACCTCGCCGCTGCATGGGAACATCTTCAGGAATTATTGATCATACCCCGTTCGACCCACCATTACCAGCTTCGTCTCGAAGACCTGGCATTTTTCTCGCAGAGCTGCCACACTCTGGAAAAGCTAATTGTCCAGCTATTCCCTGTGAGTGATGGCTGGATGTGCGACACCGGTATTCGCAGCTCTCCGTGCCTCCTATCAAGCCTCCGCATTTGTAGTTCCGACATATCTTACCGCGCGGAGGCTGAAGGTCATGAAGGCGCTTCAGTGTCACTCTAGCGGCAGTGCTGCGGCTCCTCGTCTGTACGATGTACCACTTCGGAAGGCTCAGGGGGTTTATTATCCGTATCGCTCCATGTGGCCCGGAAGTAATACTCTGTACTAGGAACTCTCTTCAGCTGTACAATTTGATCTTCGAGTCATTGACATCGGTCGCATAGATATTGCCTGGTTGGACTGGCACGTTGGCCGCGACTTGATTTCAAGTTTTCTGATTTGTCATTACATACATGAGCAGAACAAGCTTTTCCTTAGCGTTATATCGCGCGCACATGTACAAGTCAAATTTTTGTCGCCATACGACCTGACTGTCTGCTCTCTGTCGCCGCCAAGCAGATAAAGAGAGTCTGCTTATGACCATGGGTATACGAGGTTCCGTGATGGGCTGAACGCACTGCGCCTGTACTCGCAGTCAATGCCGCGGGAGAAGCGCGTGTTGCTCGAGCAGGACGACTGCAGGCAGCACCACTCGAGGTCCTCAGTCGTCGAGTTCCCCACGACGACATTGGAGGGTATATCTTTGCTCTCCTCGATGTCTATGTTGCCAACCTTGACCGTCGAGACATGTGACGCACGTGGGACGTGTCCGATATCTGGATGATGCGCTTCGCACACCGCAGGGAGAGGAGCAGCTGATTTGTCAGTCGTGATTCCGAAAGAAATACAAGGCAAGCGCAAGAAGAGATATGATCGTGAAAGCTGCAGACATTTCATAACAGCATGCAGGAGGACTACATAATAGTACATGAGTTGGCATGAAGCGAGGAATCGCGAGCGTGATTTGAAAGTGCATGACGGACATAGAGTATACGAGTATGCTTCTTTGAAATAGCCAGAAAGGAATCCACAACAGCAGGGCTTCGTTCGAACAACTCGATAATAGCCACCTGCTCACTGTCCGAGTATTCGTTGTCGTTCTCCATAAGGCGTATGGCCTTGGCGCGACGCTCTGCGGCTGACAGGTTCGAACGTACATGGGTATGCTCGCCATCAACCGGGGATGTGACCCTTTGAGCACGAGCTGGGCCCATATGTGCGTTCTCAGATATAGACCTAGCCATGGTTGGCGACACTGGCGGAAAATCAGATGAAGCGGCTGCATTGTTCTCGGTGCCTCGCGGACGCTTCCGGGACGTGCGGTCTGGGCTGGCCGAGCGCTTGCGCTGGTTCTTCACGGTATGTTGGGGTAGTGCGAGGCCAGATGCCGAGGCAGACGGTGTCTGCACAGGTTTAACAGCAAACCAACATATTATTGCAAGGTGGTGTACATACCCGAGTGCTGTATGAGCCGTCGTCGTCAAGCCACGACTCGTCCTCTTCATCGTATTCTGGAGTAGGGGAGGCTGATGATTCGTATTCAGCCTCAGTATGCAGCGCAGCGGGCGGAGATTGCTGATCTGCAACATCTTCGAGGCAACTCATGTCGCAAAGCACTTTCATCTCTTCAAATAAGGGCCAGGGTTTGCTACGATACGTTTTGTATTGTCCATTAGCCTATAAATCTTGATTATACGCCTGTACGATCTCAGTAAAGGCGCGTGTCACGCACCAGGACTATCTCTTCCCACTTGTCATCCGGAATGACGAGCATCTTCTTTTCGTCGTCCCACCCCATACCCGGCTGGTTCATCAAACAACAAAAATCTAAGAATCTTTTCTGGAGCTAAATAAGGGTCAGAGGATAACAGACAAGCTGCATTATCATTTCACATACCGCGCGGAAGTGGCCAAAGCACCTTACTACGGTCTTCGTGGCACCGTACTTTTTGGTACTCTCAGCGTTGACCTTGATAGCAGCCCGTTTCCAGACAATGTCGCGTGGAGAACCGTATGCCTCCCCTCTGGATCCGGCCTCTAGAAGGACATCCATCAGGATCTTGTCGTCTTCCAGAGTCCACATGGCGCGGCGTCCGGGGACACTCGCAGTAGGAGCTCGCAAAGCACGGCGCAATTTGGAAGTAGACATATACGTGTAGGAGTGGTATTAATTGGATGCCTACAATGGCGGGGCGTTCAAAAGAAGATGTAGGAGGCTGCGTGCGCGCCGGAAACGCGGGCACGTGACAACATCGAGGGCCCCATCAAAAAGCATTAAAGCGTTGGATATACTGTGCTTCCAGGTAATTGAGCCTGGGCGTACTGAGCGATTCTTTGGTCATTATAAACAGGCAAATAATGATACTTCTAGTGCGAGCATCTCGTCATAACGACGGAGCGAAGCCGATGCCAACATGTATGGTAGGAGGTGTACGGGGTCGCTGCGGTCAACGTGTGCCTGGGACTTGTCGAGTCCAAGTCGCTCGTCCAACGGTAACGCCCAGTACTGTTCAGCTGCCTTGTCGCTCATCACAAACACCCCAGACTGTACTAACTCGTAAGATGCATTCCGACGAGGTTGTGCAGAATTTCGCTCGACATGCCCGGCCGAAGAAGACTCGACATTACAAAGTCTCGCCCTCACGTGCCGTGCATTCGTTGAGCTGGCAAGCGACATGCTATGGAACAACCTGAAGGGCTTGAAGCCCTTGGTTAATTGCTTGCCGGATTACCTATTAGGTGCATCGCAGACCGCTCGTAAAGCTACGGTGAGCTCTTCTGTATGTCCTGATGCCTATTCCTACATCTCGTGACCATGTGCACCGAATTCACCGTCATAGACCATTCTCAGACCTCCGCTTCCAGCAATATGGCAGAGGTTTCAATACCATGCCCACCGAGCCAAGTCTCTTCTTGTCAATTACAATGACGACGATGTTACATACGCCGTGCATGCGATGGCTTTTGATGTTTTGGCGAAGCACTGGCACCATCCCGATTCCATCTTGCCGAACCTTGCGCACCTGGATTGGCGGAGCGCGCAACTTGCCAGCTATGCACTGCTATTTATCTGGCATGTGCTACTCACTCTCGAATATCTGCCGCGAACGGAAGATGGAAGACCCGCTGTTTTCAGGCACATAGAGACGAGCATGCCTCGGCTCCAAGTGCTGAGTTTCAGCATCGATTACGAGGAATCATTGAGCATCCTCAATACCAAATTTTTTCAAACAATTATCTCTTTGAACCATTCAACTGCATTTTATCACTCCGATGTAATGCTTTGCTCCGATGCCCTCATACGTCTCTCGACGCCCGCGTCTCACTACTGTGGAACTGAGCTTTAATGAAGACAACTAAAACTCCTGTAGTTCTCCCACCTGGGGAGAGTTCACTGCATAGGACAGACTTTATCTCCACCCCGGTTCCTTCACCCATGCTACAGCAATTCTACGGGCACTGTTGGGATCAAGCCTCCCCTCGCTCACTATTGGGATCTTCGTCTCAAAGGTCTGACATTCTTCATTCGCGCTAAGCTCTCGCGAAGGCGCCACTCATCACTCTGAAAGGATTATGGTCAACACATGTATTGTTCTACAGAAAATGTGCATATGCAAATCAAACCGCCAGACTGACGCCCCACTCGCTGGCGAACATCCCGTTCGACCGAGATCAGTGCGCACAGAATGCAGGGCAAACGTCGTCGCGATCTCCCCCCTGGAGGACGGCGGTTTCGTGCTCGATATGACGAACTGACACGGATGTCATCGACTGGATTTGAAGGCCTAGGATGCGGCATGAGTAAACACGCAAGACTCGAGTTAGAAGCTACAAAATAGATTCTAGCCGAGTATATTCTGAGGGAACAACAATGTCGGGCACGCAATTGCAAATTTATGCAGCAGATGTTCAGGGCAGGCATGAAGCAGCCGTGGGAACAAACTTCGTGGCGTGGCGCTTTCGGCTGGGGATCCTGACTCCCGCGACATCTTGCTCGTTTTGCACCACCGTCGACATCCCCATTCTCGAGCCGCGTTGTCGTTAAAAGTGGGTCCTCAGTCAATGAGCATTTTTCGATTCTAGCTAACTCTTCCTTTCTCAATTTGTTGTTCTTAGTCTAATGATACAACGAGTTCAATATCAGTATCTATGCTGCATTCACGGCCGCAAGCGTCTCCTGGATCTTCTTCACAGAAGCCCTCTCGCGAATCTTGCTGTTCCAGCTGTCAAATAGTTGTGTCAACGAAGGATGCATCGTGGCTCGGAACGACTTACGCCGCAGTGGCAGGGAACTCGGTCGCCAAGAAGGTGTTGTGGGTCCTGGTGATCCAGCTGGCCGAAAGTGAGTAACCTACCAGCCGCCGCAGGGCTCAGTTGGAGACGTACGGGATGAAGGACAAGTCTGCAATCGTCATCTTCCCGCCGACCAGCCACTCCCGCTTCGACAGCACGCTCTCGAGCACGCCGAACACGCGCTTGACCTCGTTGTTGTAGCGCTCCTGCGCACTTGGGAGCTGCTCGCTGTGGTAGCGCATGAAATGCGCCGCCTGGCCAAAGTACGGGCCCTGGCCCGACGCCTGGAAGAACAGCCACTGGAGCTGCTGAAACTTCTCGTTCGCGTCGACGACGGAGATCTTATGCTCGGGATCGTAGAGCTCAGCAAGGTACAGCAGGATCGCATCCGACTCCCTGTTTTCAGTACCGTCAACAGCCATTCGCTTGCGCTAGGAGAACAATGATACGCACCACAAGGTGTAGTCGTTGTTCTTGTGGTCGATGATGGTCGGGATACGCCCGTTCGGGTTGTGCTTTGTGTGTTCGGGGGCCTTGTGCTCGCCTTTGTCGAGGTCGAGGTAGATGGACTCGTATGTCAGGCCGAGTTCCTCCAATACCAATGCCACCTTCCTGTTCGCAACCGTCGGTTAGTCGACTGGTCGCAAATCAGCCATTCCTGTGCCAGGACGCACCATCCATTGGGACCTCTCTTGCAGGTGTAGAAGGTGAACTGCTTTCCGTGGGACATGCTTGGTGGTGGATAGAGGTGCTGGGGAACAGGATAATTGGATTACCATGTTCTTTATATGTCGTCGACGAGCCTCATGCCCCTTGTAGTTCTGTGATGCTGAAGCGAGACGCGCGCCACGTGCATCATCCGCAGTACGCAGTTCTGTGTGCTTCTTCCTGCAGTCCAATGATAAAGATTCTTTTGGTAATCTGTTTGTTCTTGCTGCGAGTTCCGCGATGACACTGCGCAATCCGGCTGAAATTCAGAGCTGCTTTTGCTTCCTCGCTCCCTTTACCATCTGCTATGCGTATTCTCGTGAACGTGAAGCGGGGCATTGCTTGTATAAACACGGGTGCGTCCGGCAATCAGATGGCGAACATGGGTAGCAGGATGGACATATGAGCCGTACACCAGATGTTTTATTCGAGGCCCACGTTATATCTTGCTGCAGCCTCCATGATCACATGCACGTTGTATGCCATTCCGAGTCATCGCATACATACGCGCTTCAAGCAGGTCTTTTTTAGTATATTTATTCGCGCAAGTTGTCCCTGATCTTCGTCAGGGTGTCTTGGATATATAAGCTCAAGTGCGGGTCTCGCTGTGAATCCCGAACCCCAGACCGCGTATGGATAACAGCCTTCGTTACACCCGACTTCCTCGCAGCAGTCGTTGCTAGGACAACCTCGGAACCATATCTTGATCTGCTGTGGCTCGCTCCCCTTAACATTTTGCTCCCTCTGGATCGTACAGGAGGAAAAGGAGAGGTGGATATGCTCGGCGTCGAAGCATACCCGCGCAAGCACGCCTTGGTCGATGCCTTCAGCTGGTTCGGAGGGAGCCGCCGATCTCGTTCAACTGGGCGTGACGCCGAACACGTTAGAGATTCGTCCGACCCTTCCACTTTCAGGGTCACGTCCTTAACTAACTAACAACGTAGGTTCGTAGATCATAGAACCTACCTTCGATTCTCCTTCGGCCGGGCGTACCCAGGGGCGCGTCAACGTCGGAGATGCGAATAAGCTATGATCGCGCCGCTGCCAGCAGCTGAAAGATGCGGAGGATTTAGCCAAACTTCGTGGCGCGGTGCTTTGCTAGCTGACCCCTGCGACATCTTGCCTGCCTTGCACTACCATCGACGTCCCCAATCTTGTATTGTGTTGTCGCTAGAAGTGAGTCGTCAGTCAATGTTTCAACGAGCATCCTTCCGATTGTAGCTAACTCGCGCGTGATTTCTCAGATTCTTGCTTCAGATTAATGATACAATGGGTTTTATGTCAGTATTTATGCTGCGTTTACGGCGTCATGCATCTTCTGGATCTTCTTCGCAGACGTCCGCTCACGAATCTTGCTGTTCCAGCTGCCAGATTGTCGTGTCAACGAAGGGTGCATTGTGGCTCGGAGCGACTTACTCTGCGGAAGCAGGGAACTCAGTCGCCAAGTCAAAACCATAGGACCTGGATATCCAGCTGGCCGGAAGTGATTAGCGACCCAGTCGTCACAAGCCTCAGGGCGTAAACGTACGGGGTGAAGGACAAGTCCGCAATCGTCACCTTCCCGCCAACCAGCCACTCCTGCTTCGACAGCACGCTTTCGAGCACGCCAAACACACGCTTGACTTCGTTGTTGTAGCGCTCCTGCGCACTGGGCAGCTGCTCGCTGTGGTAGCGCATGGAATGAACCGCCTCCCCAAAGTACGGGCCCTGGCCCGACGCCTGGAAGAACAGCCACTGGAGCTGGTGGAACTTCTCGCCCGCGTCGGCGACGGAGATCTTGTGTTCGGGGTCATAGCGCTCAACGAGATACAGCAGGATCGCGTCCGACTCCCTGTTTCAACACCGTCAGCAGCCATTCACATGTGCTAGAGGGACGACGATGTGCACCACAAGGTGTAGTCGTTGTTCTTGTGGTCGATGATCGTCGGGGTACGTCCGTTTGGGTTATGCTTCGTGTGCTCGGGAGCCTTGTGTTCGCCCTTCTCGAAGTCGAGATAGATGGACTCGTACGTCATGCCGAGCTCTTCCAGTATCATGGCCACCTTCCTGTTTGCGGCCGTTGGTCAATTGACGACGATCGTAAATCGGCCATTCCCGACCAGGACGCACCATCCGTTGGGACCTCTCTTGTGGGTGTACAATGTGAACTGCTTTCCGTGGGACATGCTTGGTGGTGAATAGAGGTATTGCGGAAACAGAATCTTCTTTATACCTCATCACCCCCATCGACAAGCCTCATGTCCCTTCTAGTTCTGTGATGCCGAAGCGATTACGTGCGCCATGTGCTTCTCCGCAGGGGTACGAAGTCCCTTGTGCCTCTCCTTCTCTTTGCGCAGCTCGATGATAGGGACTCATCCTCGTTACCTGTTTTTCGTTGCGGCTTCTGCGATGGCACACTGTCCGCAATCTGTTTGAAATTCAGAGCTGCTTCTGCGTCTGCGCTCCCATCTGTTATGCGTTTCCTCGTGAAAATGAAATGGGGTGCTGCTCATATAAATGCGAGGTGCGTCTGGTAATCAGAAGGTGAGCGTGGATAACAGGATGGACATAGTATGTACTGCATACCAGATATCTTTATTGAGGTCTACGCTATGTCTAACCGCGACTATCACGATCGCCCCTCTACTATACGCGCTTCAAGCAGTAGAGTCAACCCTTTCCAGCATTCTCGTTCACGCAAACTGTCCCTGATCTTCGTGAAGGCGTCTTAGATAAACGAGCTCCTGCACGGGTATCGCTGTAGACTTGGAATTTCTGACGGCTTAGGGATAACAGCCTTCGCTACACCCGAATTTCCCACAGCGGTCGTTGCCAGCCGGATAGCCTCGGAACCCTATATATCTTGACTTGCTGTGACTCCGACGCTCTCCTCCACTTCTACTGGATTGTGTAAGAAGAAAGAAGGGCTGAATATGCTCGGCGTTCGAAGCCTACTCGCACAAACACGCACGCTCTGGTGGCTGTCTTCAGCCGATCCAAAGGGGACCGCCGACTCTGTTCACTGGGCGTGACGACAAAGCCGTTGGAGAATCGTCCAGCCCCTCCAGGAGTCGCATTCTGAAATAAATTACAGCGTGGATTCCCAGATCTTAGAAGCCGCTGCCGACCTTCCTTCGGCCAGCTATGCCCAGGGGCGCCTCTACATCGAGAGACGCGAACGAAGTTAGTCTTCCCTGCCCTCGGCTGGCCCGATTCAAGCGCGCCACGCGTAGAAATAAATCTCCAGCACCGTTCCTTCAATGGCTGAATGCTAAATCACGCTGGCCCATTAGACATATATGGACGAAATACCGTCAGCATCACCCCAATGACCAACGGCTGTTCCGGGAGGTTGTACCAGACTGGCTGCGGTCAGTTCTTGTTGCGTCCCGTGTCCCTCTCAAGATAGAGGTCGCGCGGCAAAGCGATGATGGTAGGGAATCAGTGAAACTCATCCAGGTAGATGACCTATCTGCATCCGACCCTGCGGAATCCCCCGCACCTAGTCTTCATTCGCTGTCGTCTGAATCTGATCGGGAGGAAGCCGCCCCGACTCGGTACACCGTGCAATATATTGAGGTATGGCCGCGCTCACCGTCACACAGTGAGCACTGAGACATTTTCCTTTTTTCGTATTGTCTACTATTTATTGGAGCCATGGACTCCCGCGCCTCTACGGACGCTAGTAGTTACGCGCCATACGGACGCTAGTAGACAGGTGTACATTACCCTACGTTGGTAGCACTTTAAATACAGGAACAAAAAAAAAGACTGGCCCGATTCAGAGCATGACGAGTACTTCTTCGCGGTACCGTTCAGAGCGACAACAAGGGGCGAAACTTGTCGTTAAATACACTGGCATTTACTGGGTCCCTGCAGCGCACAGTCAACGGCGCGAGCAACGCGAGCCCCAGACATTCTTGACCGCAGCCACGGCCGCGGCGCTCCAGCAGCTCTCGTGGCGAGTGCAGACTCCGCCTTTCGTGTGCTCTCCTCTGTGGGGTGACACGCGGAGACGGCGACTTGGACTTCAAGCTTCATGTAGGGCGCACGGAGGATTCGATGCTCGGCCGAAAGCCAGGCTGATCATCGCCAGAGACGGCGCACGGACACATGATGCGCTCCGTGCTCAGGGACAGGGCACTGGGGAATTGCAATGCAGCCATGGCTCCTGCGCCCGAGTTGCCCTCGACAGACACGGTTTAAGAGGGCTTCGTGACATGAGAGACGTGTGCATACCCTCGGCGGTGCCAGAAGATACGTCCTCCGCGGTGCGGTGCAATGCAGCGAGCAGTTTTTCCATTGCGTCTTAAGCCCGACGGCGCAGAGACGCTGCTGCGCCTTGACATGACGCGCTCCCTCTGGCGAGCACCTATGGCGAGCACGCCCTGAACAAGGCAGAAAAAAGCACCGCTGTCCCGCAGCTCCCGATTACGACCGAGAATAGCGGCGATGAGCGATGGGCCCGCCCTCTTCGAGTCGGCGCAGCGCACGACAGGGCCGGCTAGTGTCGCATGCCACCCGTCATGCCCCGGTGATTTTTCCGCGACGCTAGCCTAGCGTGGGTCGTGCGCGGGGCCTTTAGCCCCGCCGGCCGCTATATGGCGGACGCCGGCCTCATGCGACGGGGAGGAAGCCTCCATGGCATGCCGGTCGCCATCACAGCCCCATGCCCATGCCCACGGCGCCACACCAGAATTAAAGGCGTGCATCAGACGTCGGCCGGGCGGGGCCCGCGCATCTCGGACGGATAGCATTACACACAGGCACGGCTACGTGCGCCGCTACAGTCGCCGCGAAAGGCAGCCCACTCCCCCGCGACGTTCTTCTTCTCCCACGTGCGGTTGCGAGCTGTAGGCTTGATCAAAACGGCCATCAATGGGAAGATGCTCTCGCCTCTGTACAAGGTCGAGGATATTCAAGATAGCGTATTGGGTCCGGTACCGACAACATTTCAGTCAGAGGACGTCCGCGAACTTGCAACGGCATGGAAAAACCTGTAAAACTTCGTGCTCGGCTGTCGTCGTCTACCTCCAAGTCACTATTGGAATCTTCGTCTCGAAGATCTGTCGTTCTTCTCGCAGAACCGGGACCGCGACTTTCTGGATCGTTCCCAGCTATGGGTGCAGGCATTCCCCACAGACGACCATTGAGTGTGCAATACCAGTGTTCCCAGCTATCCGTCTGCCTTTATCAACGCTCCACCTCAATATGCCCTATATTACTCCCCTCGCAGTAGCAGAAGTCGCCACCTACCTCGCAACAAATTAGAAATTTCCATGTGCCGAGGTTACACACCGCTTTCCGAAATGGCATGCGGCATCTGATCAAGATATGTATGAAGTGGAATCGGGTGAAGTCATTGACAGGGTCAGCGCGCTGAAGCGCAGGCTCGTTCGCGACGAACTAGAAGCAAGAGCGGAAGGGGAAGGCGGCGAAGTGGTTCCGGGGTCGTCCTAGCCGCCCCGGCGTCGTGCACCAAGGTCACGATTGTCTGCGCGGTCACGGCCGCGCTGCTTCAAAAGGTGTGAGGTATTTCGCGTTTGCATCGACCCGCATAGCAAAACCTGACAATCTGCGCCAGAGTTTGTAGTACGTTATTTCTTGGAACTGTTGTAGGCTGCTGCGCACCACGGACCGTAGCCGCCACAGATAACAGCGGTCGAGCTCTCAGGGTGTTCTAGGTGTCGCAGTCAGCTCACGATCATGCTTTCCGTCGCGCTACGGCGTCCTGCAGTTACCGTATATGTATTTGAAGGCCGCATGGTGTAAACTGTGAGAACTAGCAGCCATTGTCCGCTCACGCAATATGCGAGTATGTCGCCGAGCTAGCAGGGCAAGGCGCCGATCAGCAATGGTCGATGAGGTCAAACGACGGTCGGTGCGGACGTACTCTGTTATCTCCTCTACGAATGCCGCCCGTTCGACAGATACTGCCCTCGCTAAAAATGCCTCTACCCACGTTCAAGGAATCTGTACATGAAGAAAAGATCGCATCTTCGTTTCCTGGCCTCCCTCCCTTAACGATCTCTGCCGTCTCGTCTGGGCAGTCTCAAAGTGGCAGGCGACCGACAAGCCATCCTCTATTGAATGTTACACCCAGGCATGGTCGGCGCAGCAGCTGTCTGAGAACATTTCGATGAGCTTCTATAGAAGTAGGTGTCATCAATAATCGGTATGGAGAGTGGAAAGGCTGTAGTAGTGAGGCTGCGCACCTCGGTAATTTTCACTTTGCGTCCGATGAATATCGGGAACGCTCTCGGTTCTCCTAGTGCATCTGCGTATTTAGCAGTGCCGCGACCTGGATCGGCCACTTGAAGGTTACGATAGCGGGAGCAGTTTACACGGGGCAGGATGGTCGCTGCAACCACTTATCGGCTGCCGTTCGTTCGGAGTTGTATGCGGCCGGATCAGGGCGCCGCTCCAAGGGCTAGCTGTAAGAGATCAAAGCTTCGACGAAAGGTCACCACAAGGAGGCGATGCGAAGCATTGCATTCTTCAAACGTAATGCAGAGGAGTCATATGTGCGGTCCTCGCGAGGGTGCTGCAGAGCCGAGAGAGATGAAAGGTTTACAGCCTGGTACGGCAATTCACTCGTGTGTGCTGGTGGTCGTCGATGGCTGGTAACTGCGGGATTAGGCTACCAAACAACAAGAATATTTTCGGAAAAAGCGAAAACATGCCATTGTGCCCCTCTGGCCGAATATTCGCGCTAAGCCCTGGCGGAGACACCACTCCTCACTCTGAAAGATGTATGGTCAACACATGTTATTGCTCTACACTGAAAATATGCATATACAGATGAATTCATCAAACTGACGTCCCACTCGCTGACAAACACCCCGTCCGACTGGTACCAGTGCGCACAGGACATAGGTCAAACGTCCTCGCGACCACCGCCCGAAGGCGGAGACCATGTGCTCGGTATGACGGGCGGACGCGAGTGTCATCGACTGGATTTGAAGGATGTGGCATGAGTAAACATGCGATACTCAAGTCAGAAACTATAAAATAGATCCTAGTCGAGTATGTTCTGAGGAAACAGCGACGTCGGGAACGCAAATTTATGCGGCAGATGTTTAGGGCAGGCATAAGTGGCCGTGGGAACAAACTTCGTGGCGTGGCCCTTTGCTACCTGACCCCTGCGACATCTTGCCTGCCTTGCACCACCATCGACGCCCCCAATCTCGAGTTGTGTTGTCGCTAAAAGTGAGTCGTCAGTCAACGTTTCAACGAGAATCCTTCCGATTTTAGCTAACTCGCGACTTCTCAGATTCTTGTCCTTAGACTAACGGTACAACGAGTTCAATGTCAGTATCTATGCCGCATTCACGGCCGCACGCGTCTCCAGGATCTTCTTCACGGACGTCCGCCCGTGAAGCTTCCTGTTCCAGCTACCGGACAATAAGATCAACGAAGTGAGCATCATAACTCTGGGCGACTTACGCAGCGGTAGCCGGGAACTCGGTCGCAAAGTCGAAGTCAGTGAATGCGGGGATCGCGATGTCGTTCCAGCTGGCTGAAAAGTGAGTGCTCGTTCCATCACTACATTGCTCAGGGGACGGAGACGCACGGGATGAAGGACAAGTCTGCTATCGTCGCCTTCCCACCGACTAGCCACTCCTGCTTCGACAGCACGCTCTCGAGCACGCCGAGCACACGCTTGATCTCGTTCTTGTAGCGCTCCTGCGCACTGGGCAGCTGCTCGCTGTGGTAGCGTATGAACCACGCCGCCTGGCCAAAGTACGGGCCTTGGCCTGAGGCCTGGAAGAACAGCCACTGGAGCTGGTGGAACTTCTCGCCCGCGTCGGCTACGGAGACCTTGTGTTCGGGGTCATAGCGCTCAACGAGATACAGCAGGATCGCGTCCGACTCCCTGTTTCCAGCGTCGTCAATAGCCATGCATCTGCGCTAGAGGAACGACAATACGTACCACAAGGTGTAGTCGTTGTTCTTATGGTCGATGATGGTCGGGATACGCCCGTTTGGGTTGTGCTTCGTGTGCTCAGGAGCCTTGTGCTCGCCTTTCTGGAAGTCAAGGTAGATGGACTCGTACGTCAGGCCGAGCTCTTCCAGAACCATGGCCACCTTCCTGTTCGAGACCGTTGATCAGTCGATGATGGTCGTATATCACCCATACCCATGTCAGAACGCACCATCCGTTGGGACCCCTCTTATGAGTGTAGAAGGTGAACTGCTTTCCGTGGGACATGCTTGGTGGTGGATAGTGTTGCTATGGGATTAGAACCACAGATTGCAATGCTCTTTATACCTCGTCAACAGGGCCTCATGGCCCTTCCATTAAACGCATCTTCTATCTTCATCTAAGATTAACCCCCGTCTATCGCCCTCAATGGGTCCGTGACTAGTGGACCACCGATTCCACGATGCCCGAGCGCCACGCGCTTCGTCCGCGGGCGTACGCCGTTCTTCGTCCTTGTCCTGCCCTTTGTGCAGTTCATTGATAGGGGCTGTGCGTAAGCTGGTTGAAATTTAGAGCTGCTTCTGCGTTCTTGCTCCTCTTACCGTCCGCTATGCGTCTCCTCGTGGACGTGAAATGGGGCCTCGTATATATAAATACGAGGGGTGTCTGGCGTTAGATGGGGGACATACATGGCAAGATGGACATATAAACCGCGTACTGGACATCTTTAATGAGGCCCAAGCAGGGTCTAGCTGCTAATACCGTGATTGTATGATCGTCCTGCATTGGCGCCTGTCTATACTGTATGCGCTTCGATTAGTAAGTTTTCTCGACATGTCTATTCGTCCAAGCTGTCTCTGATCTTCAATAGCGTCTTAGATAAAACCCCTGCACTTCCGGAGGACTTCTTCAACACCTGCAGGATGGTGCGCCAAATTCTGGGCGCCATCATGCCTTCGATACCTGCGTATGCTGCTAGCTCTCCTGGACTGTCGTTCAGTTCGGCACCGATGCCAGTCTCATCTTGCTGCAGGACGGCACTGGCTCGTCTGTATCGTTGGCGCAACGGGTTTAGTGAGAGACGAAAGAGTGTCTCCGGACATAGTTATCGGTATACGGCGTCCTAGTATGGTCAGCCCTCCTCTCTTGGCCGCCAGGGATCCATGATCCGAAATTTCCCGAAGGAGGGCGGCGGTCTCCTCGGGATGACACAGCGCTATGTCGGTCTCGTGAAGGGCCACCTGGCTGGTCACTCGGAGTGTCTTGTCGGAGGTACGTCACCCAATACAGGTCGGATTAGCATTATTCTGATCTTACGTCGAAGGGTGGTCTGTTGGCAGAGCAACCGCCTTCGAAGTCGCGAGACAGCTGATCGCGTCTGATATCAGTGTCCCTGGTCTAGTTATCGGCGACTCACTTGATCCAGAGACGTCCACTGCGCCCTCTAAAAAAGTCCTCAATGGCGCGTTCCCGACGAAGAGTTTGCCTGGCCGTGCTATGGAGCTTGCTCGCTTGTCTATCCGGCACGCAACAGTAGCACTGGTCGACTACGACCCCAGTCATTGCCTATGAGGCACATCTTGCTGAAGGAGGCTGTCATGCTGCGCCCGCGCGAAGGTTACCTTGTCAAGAACACCAAGTTAGGCGTTCAGCTGGACGCGTTCTTAGACGATGGAGCTAACCCGGGGCGGTTATTTGTAGGCAGGTATCCTCGGTATCAGGGGTTCCAGGGTTCCTATTCTCCACGTTCCCGGAAACCGCTTTGAAATGATTCTCCCTACGTGAGTATTTTTGCATGGCTATGTGGTCCATGTGCTGATATCAGTCTGGGTCGGCGAAGTCTCGAATGTCCAGACTCCTTGAGGCACTGCGAATGCTGTGAACACTGTTACACTAGCCACTTCATTCTGTGCTTTCTGTAATGTATCGCTATTTGTTTATTCGCGGTGTGGAGGAGGATTCGACGTACGGGTCGGCGCTCGATATATGCGGGGCTTTACGTGTGGGGAGGGAACGGCCGATGACAAAACTCGATGTCTAAACGCGTAACTAAGCTCAATGAACGATCTAATAAAACTCTTACTTAAATGCTCATGCCCGCGCTCGTTGCGGGCGAAACTCGTCTCGCGCTCTCGCGAGTGTATTCTCAATGACTCTTAGGATGTGCCCGAAGCTCGGAGGGGCAGACTTTAGAGGTGAAGGTGGGGGAAAGGGGAGCTTGCTCCATTCGAGGGCGGGAGGTCGCCTTTAATATACATGCGAGCGCTGCTCTGCTGCCGTGCTCTCGGCCGGAGGTCTATGTGTACGGAAAGCGAAGGTAAACGTCAACGAAAGGGTCTCTATTGGGGAAGAACCTGCGAATGCGATGGAAAACGAAGTAGTGGCGTCAGGCTTCGGGAATGGCGCGCCGCTCCGACAGGCGATGACTCGGCACGCTCGCGCACAGCGGGTCCCTATTTACATGCGCGTTCCTGCCGCCCTCAGGTCGCGGGGTACTCCGTCACTTGCGGCGTCACCTACGTCCTGTCTTCCTGGTCATGCCACCGTCCACCATCTGTGTACATGCGGAAAGAAGGTAAATGTAAGTTCTTGGTGTTGGCGCTGAAAACCCTTCTACAGCGGGCAAATGTATCGATTCTATGTACGTACCCAGTATATATTCTTATGTCCTGAGGTCGCTAGATGCTCAGGAAACCGTTGAATTCTAAATTTGTATTCGTGGGAATACTAGACCTGGCTTTGAAGCCGGTGCTGTGAAACTGGGTAAACGGCTGTAAGATAGCTTTCTAATCGACGTCTAGCCGTGAGAATGCCAGATTGCAGTAACGCCCAATGCTCAAACGCGAGTCTGTTAGCCACTATCAACCACGCCATACCGGACAAGCTCGCGACATGCATCCCTGCTTAAAAATTGACGAAATTTTATGGAATACCTTAGGACATGTTGAGGGGACTTCTCCAACACTACATGCTTCCACCTTGGAGCTGTGCGTTTCTCGAGCCAGCGAACAACAAGCTGTGGACCGATCTGCCTGGCCTGAGCCCCTTGGTGAACTGTTTGCCAGACCACTTGATAAGTCCATCTCACACATGTGACAATGCTTTAGTAAGGACCTTCAGTTCTTGACTGTATAACCTCGTATCTCAACTGTCGATCTCTGTAGACCATCGCCAAGCCCCCTCTGCCAGAAGAACGGCACAGACTTCAGTACCACGCTCGTAGAGTCAAATCTGTCTGGGTTGGTCACAAGGGTGATGACAACTTATTGGTGGATGAAAATGCTCTCAAAATGCTAGCACAGCATCATCCTGGCCCTATCCCGCCGAACTTTGTGCACCTCACCTGGCACAATTTTTGCTTGGCGGAATACGCCCCTCTCTTCATTCAGCGCACGCTGATTTCCCTGATATATTATCCAACACATAAGGATGAGATGTATGCAGTTTTCCGACGCGTGCAGTCAGACACTTCACATCTGAAGGTGCTGGAACTCCGAGATGGCACCCATAGCTTACTGGAGGAACGTGAGGTCGAGTTTGCTCTACTTATAACCTCCTTAAATCATCTGGTAACACTCGACTTCGATGACATGCCACTTAAACTCAATGCTTTCATACACGTCTCCTGGCTCCCATGCCTAACTGCACTGTCAGTGTATCTCACCCAGGAAAATTACGGCGCGTGAAATATTGGGGTCGCTTCGAGGAAAGTCTCCGGGAGTCGGCGTTAGCAGGTTTCAAACACCTATTGGAGCCCACAGTGTGCTTCAGATCAGAGGCCAAGTTCTGATGGAGTAAGCTTTACAATCTGAGACAAGTTGTTGAAAGCAGGATCAGGATCTCCGAGAACATCGGATTAACTGCACAACAGGGCCCATATAAGCAAGGGGTCGCGAGGCCATCGCACCTGCATCTTGTTCAACTCCTAATCTTCATTGACCCACGTTGCACACTGCTACACCATGAAGCAGAAATTAGCTAAAATTGCTGACATCCTAGGGAAAGAATTCGATTTCGTTATCGTCGGTGCGTCGCATATCGTTCTCGTAATAATCACGCTCTTTTATATCTCATCAATGTGCTGCAGGCGGCGGCGTGTGTATCAAGTCGAAATCCCCTCAATGTGTTGCTGACGTCTCGTATATTAGACCGCAGGCTGCGTTGTGGCAGCCAGGCTGAGCGAGAACCCGAACATATCTGTCGCTTTGTTGGAGGCAGGCTCTGCTCACTTTGACGACCCGCTAGTTTGTGCGTGCATCTGTCGTCTAAGCTTTCGTCGCTCACTTACAAAACGTCTACAGCTGACCCCTTCCGTTGGACAAAGATTATCGACAACCCCAAATATGACTGGAAGTATCTCACAACGCCACAACCAGGCCTACACGGGGAGCCCACGATGTGGCCCAGGTACATCATATCGCCATCGCCTCAGGGAGATATCTGTTTGACTTTTCCATACGTTGAACAGAGGCCGTGGTCTTGGCGGCACATCCCAAATTAACGGGTTGGTATGGAATAGTGATGTGCGGGCCGGGCCTCAAAGCCCGCGAGCCCGCCAAGCCCGGCCCAAAAAGCCTGACCCGAGCCAAGCCTGGCAGCGGGCTCAAGGCCGGGCTCGGAGCGTAGTCAAGCCCAAGCCCGGCCCGGAAGCCCAGGCTTGGGTGTACCGGCTCTGTTACTGTTCCCTGAGTTCAGGATAAGGTGAGAGAGATCTAAGATGTACACACCAGACATAATATTGGTATTTTAGACTCGACGGTTCCCGCCGAGCACGATTGTGCATCACCGTTTGGTGCCTGCCGTAGGCGCGCGCTCGTGGGCTTCGCTGCGACTCGACTTATTCCCCGAGTGTACATCTTCTGGAGGCTGAATTCAGTGAGTACACGCAGTAATAATCTACTACATCCAAATATACTCCCTTTTCATAGCACCAGAATATTCATTGTATTGTGAGCAAGCCCGGGCTTAAGCCTGCGGCTTGGGCCGGGCTCGGGCTCGGCTCGGGCTCAGGGCTCGGCTCGACGCTGCCACAAGCCCAAGCCCGGGCTTTGAGCCCAAGCCGGGCCCGCACATCACTAGTATGGAACCTGCAACAGCGCGAAGAAATGGATGGTACGCCTCCTTGCGCGCCGAGTTGACTTAGCAAACTTGATCACTGGATACCCGCATTAGCTGTTGGCGAGCTAGGCAATGAGGGCTGGAACTGGGAGACCTTTCACAAGTATGCGAAGAAGGTACAAAGGTTCTGCCCGCCTGACCCAAACGAGCGGAGTGAGTTCAAGAACCTGTATAAGTCCGACGCCGTGGGACACGACGGCCCGATTCCGCTATCGTTCGGACGGGATAGCTGTGGCGCCGACGCTGCCTGGCAACGCGTGAGTTTCGCAGTCGTGATTTAGCCCAGCGACACTGCTGATTGCTGCCTTGTAGGCTCTTGCGGAGAACGGGGTCGATACAATAAGCACGGCGCTCGACGGCGATATCGCTGGGACGTGGAAGAGCGTCTCGAATGTGGACCCTGTGAGTCGGAGCCGCGTGAATTCTGTTAACGTATGTGGTTAGCCCATCCTTTGTCGTATTTCGAGTGTTGAACATGCCCGTATGGCTACCTCCATCCTGCGCTCGACCGTCCCAACCTCAAGGTCCTGGTGGATGCATACGTGTACAAGCTCATTACCTCCAAGCACGCGGACGAAGTTGCCGCGACTGCGGTCGAGTTCGAACATTGTGGACAGGTACACAAGGTCTTTGCACGCAAGGAGGTCATTGTCTCTGCTGGGCACGTGTTTCCGAGGTCACGACGATTTCTATGCGCTGATTTGATCTTACAGCGCTGTGGAATCACCGCATGTCTTAGAACTCAGTGGCATCGGTGACCGGAAGATTCTTGAGCCTCTGGGTATCCCTGTTCAGCTGGACTTGCCCTCAGTCGGCACGAACGTGCAGGAACATATCGCAATGGCTGTCAGCCAGATTAGTCAGGCTTTCACCTTGTATCCACTAACTGCGACGCTGATATTCTGTGCAGAGATGGTCGAAGACCGCGGCCTGATCACATCCACCATGCTCGACAATAAGGGGCTCTCCGAGAAAATCTGGATGGAATTGTGGGTTTCTTGTGCCGGCTTATAGACAAGCCGTCCTGAAAGCACTTCATAGCGGCCTGAAGGACTCCTTCAAGCTTTCCTTGAACAACTTCTCATTCGTGCCCATACAAATTGGTTCAGAGCGCGCTGAGCAGCTCGTGCAGAAACAGAGCGCCAAGATTGCAAAGGGCGATTACCCGCTCGGACTCAAAGCGTCGTACGAGAAGCAGCTCGAGCTGCTTGAGAACCCCAAGGTACCCGACTTCGAGATGATGTTCCTGCCGTTCCCAATCCTTATGCCGCCGCCGGTACCCGACAAGCCGTACATCACCATCTTTCCGATTGTTAGCCGGCCATTCACGCGCGGGACGATCCATGTCCAGTCTGCTGACCCGAAGGCTTGGCCAGCGATCGACCCGCACTACTACGAGGAGGATATCGATCTTGATATTATGGTCGACGCAACCAAGTTTGTGCGCAAGGTAACCCAGACCGAGCCATTTAAGTCACTTGTTGTCGAGGAACAGCTTCCCGGACCAAGTGTGAACACCGATGAGGAGATGTATGGTACGTGCTCGTCCTTGGCAGTCCTGCGCGAGTAGGTGCTGAGTCGTGACACGCAGAATATGCTCGCAAGTACACCTATTCGGGCTGGCGTACGTAACTGTGGATCGGTTCGACAGCGAGCCGCTGACCTCGTCGTCCCACACAGACACGGCTGGAAGCATGTCAATGATGCCTCGTGACAAGGGCGGTGTCGTTGACCCGCGATTCAGGGTATACGGCACCAAGAACATCCGTGTTGTGGACTTGTCTATTCTTCCCATTCACACGGCTGTTCACCCTCAGGCCACCGTCTACGCAATTGCGGAGATGGGTAAGTCTTCAAACCTCAAGCTTATATACTGCGCGTGATTCTGATTATTTGCTGAATTGTGCCTTGCCGACAGCTTGTGACATCGTTAGGCACGCCTATCAGTAATGTACTCCTAGATCATAGGTCGTATAGTTACTCATGTGCCCCGAAAGCAGGTAGTGTATTTCTGACTCCGAAGTTTGCACTGTTTGCAGCCTCTGCCAGTGTTTCCGACCCCGCTCGTTATTCACTATTTGCCTGGCCCGATCTCACCCCTGTCGATGCTTTTGATTGCTTTCGTTTAAGCCTCTTTCAGAATGAGTATATTCTGAGGAAACGAGTTTGCAGATTTGTATGGCAAGTGCTTAGCGCTTCGGCGTAGCGCCTCTTGCTTTGTACCTTACACCAAGTCTTGATGAGCCGGCTTCGACTCTTTCCAGAGGTAAGTCAGCGGATAATACATCGCGATCATAAGTCATTTAATCCGTTCTTGTTTCTAGTAATACAACAATCTGAATATCAATATCACAATTATTCTACGCATTCAAAGACTCCCGAAGCGCATAGACTTTCTTCACAGCCGGCCGTTCTATAAGCCTCTTGTGCCATCTGACAAAAATTCGTATTATAATATCGGACATATTGGCGAGGATGTCACTTACGCAGCGGTGGCAGGATATTCCGCCTCGAAGTCAAAGTTGACGACAGCGCGCTCCTTCTCGACGCCGGGGACTCCTCCGGGAAGTACAAAGTTATTCCACCTGAGATAAGGGTAAGTCTCAATTCTTGAAAAGTGGCAGCAAGTTGAAGCGTACGGGATGAAGGACAAATCCGCGACGGTTGGTTTCCCACCGACGAGCCATTCCTGCTTTGATAATACGTTCTCGAGCACACTGAACACGCGTTTGATCTCATTTCTGAAGCGCTCCTGGATGCTAGGGATCTTCTCGTTGTGGAAGACGACATACCACGCCGCCTGACCGAACGGCGGGCCCTGTCCGGAGGCCTGGAAGAATAGCCACTGGAGCTGGTAATACTTCTCGATTGGGTCAGCGACAGATATCTTGTGCTCGGGGTCGTAGTTGTCGACGAGGTAAGTTATGATTGCGTCTGACTCCCTGAGCGATAATTATTTAGACTGCTCGCTCTGGGATCCAGGCGGTCACGGCACGTACCACAAGACCACGTCGTTGTTCTTATGGTCGACGATCGCGGGAACGCGTCCGTTCGGGTTGTACTTGGTATACTCCTGCGCCTTCTGCTCGCCCTTCGTGAAGTCAAGGTAGACGGTTTCATACGTCAGGCCGAGCTCTTCCAGGATAATGGGCACCCTCCTGTGTACAGTCGCTAGTCAATCGGCGGCGATAGTTGCGGCCCGCGTATTCAGCCCAAACGCACCAGCCATTGGGAGCTTTCTTGTGACCGAAGAGTGTGAAGTGCTTCCCATGAGACATGCTTGTAGGAAGTATTGGGGGCGCTGGTGGGTCTTCGATGCGGATGGAAATCCCAGCAGTGTCTTTTAATATCTCGACAAGGGCCTTTTTGTCTCGTATACCTCCTGTCTTGGCGTACAACGCCAGGCACCTGGTTATCGCACTCAACAATAGCGTACGGCAACACACAACAGCGCACAAAAGCTACTACACCACATCCGCAATCGTGGATCAGGACGCGCGTCCGCGCTGAGCCCGCGGCCTCGGGTGTAGGTCGCTCTTCGTACTGTACCTGGTGCGGTTTGCTTACATATGGGGATAGGTCTGGCCGTTGGCTGACTCCCGTGAAGGCGACACATACAAGCTGATTAGACAATAGTACTGCTTCTGCGTCCTCGAGGCTCCTGCTTTCCACGCTGCCCTCGTTCGTGAACATCAAGCGGCGTTGTTTCAGGACGCCAGGCCTGAAGCATATGAACACGGGCTACGTGTCTGCATGGAAACATAGGCAGAACAAAGTTCATCCCATTACTGTACTTTTTCGACCTGACCTGTGGCCACAGATCACACCGAGTTTCCTCTGACCCCTCCAATAATGTTTTCTTGATTTATGGCGATTTGGGGGAATTGTCGGAAAAATCGATTTGGGCGCTTCCCACCAGTCGGGTCGATTACCCCTGAAAGTAGAATAAAGCCTTGGATTTTTGTTTCTCGCCTCGCCAACGACAAAATCAAAATGTATAAGACATGGGCTTGAGCTGCTTGCAAATCAGACAAGTACAGTCCGTGGGAAAAACTGAGGGCACATGGTGTAGCTGGTTGTCAGATCCGCTTAGTATTTTGAGGTGCTGGGTTCAATTTCTGGTCTATTAAATGTCCATCTCGGTGTTGTATTGTAATTTTGTACTTCAAGTCCCTGTCATTGGGTTCTCAGCTTGATAGATACATAATAAACACATGATTGGTCCTAGATAATACTTTTGCTGCCTCAGTTATATTCACATTGAGGCTGTAGAGGACGGCTCCATTGGTTCTCATGTACTTAGATCAGTACTCTTATTTCAATGTTACATGCTCCAGCCTTGAGTTTGTGGTGCTGGAAAGAATTCGCGCACAACATTATTCATGGAGGAGAGATGCAAAAATTGGACACACTGGGAATTGAACCAGGCACATCAGATGCTGAGCGGACGTGATAACCAACTACACCATGTGCCCGTGCACATCGTAGCGAACGACTTCTCCGATTACGCAGACAGTATACAAAAACTAGTCGGAGCACGTTCTATAGGTTTGTTGTTGCGTAAGGCTCTCCATGCGGTGCCAAACGAGCAGCGCGGATGCTGTACGGTCATGCGATCTCAACGAACACCTCATGGTGATATACTTCAGCCCTAGCAACGCCACTTCGCAATTCGGAGAACGCAGAGCGGGTAATGAGCGGCATGAGAAAGACAAGAATGCAGAAGTAGCCCCAAATTTCGAGAAGCTTACGTGGGACGCCTTCGCAAGCCCCACGAAGAGGGTATTGCGAGAGACTGCTCCATACTGGCTCATACATAGACCGCGCCGAGCGCAGCGCGAAGTGCTCCGTACACCCGCGGCCGCGGGGGAAGCGTGGGGGTGCTTCCCGATACGGCACTGTGTGTGGCGATCCAGCGGCGATTGGATGCTTCTGTTGTTGGGGGCGATAACCCGGTGCTCCGACATAACACGCAAGGATGGTACTATAGGGGATGGCATAAAATGGAAGAGTCTCGTCGAGGTATAAAGAGTCTCTGTCTACAGGTTCAAATCCACATCGAGTCCCATCGCTCTCGCCTACTACAAGCATGTCTCACGGAAAGCAGTTCACCTTGTACTCCCACGCGAAGGGTCCCAACGGCTGGTGAGTTCCGACTGGGGCAGTAATCCGTGACCATTGTCGACTGACCAGCAACGATAAACAGGAAGGTGGCCATCGTCCTGGAAGAGCTCGGCTTGACCTACGAGACGACCTTCCTCGACTTCCAGAAGGGCGAGCACAAAGCTGCCGACCACACCCAGCACAACCCGAACGGGCGTATCCCGACGATCATCGACCACAAAAACAACAACTACACCTTGTGGTGCGTATTGTCGTTCCTCTAGCGCAGGTGAATGACTGTTGACGACGCTGGAAACAGGGAGTCGGACGCGATCCTGCTGTACCTTGTCGAGCGCTACGACCCCGAACACAAGCTCTCCGTTACCAGCCAGGAGGATAAGTTCCACCAGCTCCAGTGGCTGTTCTTCCAGTCCTCGGGACAAGGCCCGTACTTCGGCCAGGCGGCGTGGTTCACTTTCTACCACAGCGAACAGCTGCCCAGCGCGCAGCAGCGCTACAAGAACGAGATCAAGCGTGTCCTCGGCGTCCTCAACACTGAGCTGGAGAAGCGGGAGTACCTTGTCGGCGGAAAGTTGACCATCGCGGACCTTTCTTTCATCCCGTGCGTTTCCTCCCGTTGCTGTTTTGCATCTACTCACCTTCGATTTAGGTGGAACAACTTCGTGCTCGGCGGCGGCCTCTACGAGGGTAAACTCGAGCAGGATCTCCCAGCTGTTGCCAAGTAAGTACATTATACATAAAGCTGTTCTGCCCCTAATCCTGACATCCGTATTCGTCAGGTGGCACGCGAAGCTCATCGAACGGGCAACGGTGAAGAAAATCTGGGCGCAGAGGGAGGCCTTGTAAATTGTGTAATATTCGATTGTTGTACTACTAGACAAGTAACTGGAACCTGAGAATTCGCGAACTGTCCGAAACGACCATGACACGATATGTTTGTTGCCTGAGACGGCTGAGCTCGAGACTTGGCGAGGTGCAGAGGCGCCACGCCACAAAGCCTAGTTCGCCATTTTCCCACGAGCAACCGGGCTTGCCCTACTAAATACTTGCCGCATAAATTTGAGTACCAGACGTAGTCGTTTGCTTAGAACACTCAGCTGGGATCTACTATTTTTCAGTTTGTAACTCGGGTCTCTCATGTCTACTCGTGCCACATCCTCCAGAGCTGGTCGACGACAGTCGCGTTCGCCCGTCATGTCGAGCATATAGCCGCCGCCTTCGGGTGGTAATCGCGAGGACGTTTGACTTGCGTCCTGTGCGCACTGAGCTTCAGTCGCGCGGGATACTTGTCAGCGGGCGAAACGTCGGTCTGATGGATAAATTGTAATTGCAGCTTTCGTATATAGTGCAATGCAGTTACACATTTTTCCGTTGTAAAAGCTAGAGTGTTCGGCCGAGGTGAAGCATCAGAAAAATTTACTTCCTTCATGTGTAGTGGACCAGCTGCGGTACTGCGCGCATTTTTTTGTGGCTGCTACCGAGATCCCACACCAAAATGGTGCGAGGGGGGCGCTCAAAGCTCGAAGCCCACCTACTAGGCACGCGTTCCCCATCTCGGCCACCGCACGAAATCGATGCTATCTTGCCCCCCTGACGACAATGCATGCTCTGCGAGAGGCGCCGGGCAGGTGGGCTGCGGGCTTTGATAAACGCAATCGTCACAGGGCCCGGCCTGGCAGATACCGCGTCCACCTCAGTTGACTTTCTCCGCTCATGTCGTCGAACGCCTCCACTCAGACGGCCTCAGTCGCTGCGACGCAAACTACCACAGCTGCACAGCCGACGCCGGCGAGCACGCATGCGGAAGCCGTAGATTTGTCTGCTCAAGGGTGAGTACCGCCGCGATCGCCCCCCATCTGGAGATGCTACGGGGACGAGTTCGAATGAGCGTTCAATTGACGCATATTTTGCATTCTCTCCATCCATTTGCGGCGGGCGTCGATCGATTGCACGCGATGCAGCAGCACTACGGGCGAGCAAGCGGCAGGCGTCGAGAATATTGATGATGGCGACGGTGATGACGATATCGAGGAACTCCTGGAGGAAGCGTGAGTATGATCTCTATATTGAGGCGCCGCAGATCGCTCATGCTGCTGGATAGCGGGCTGGAGCCAAGAGGCCAAAAGGCGGCTACGACTGCGGTGAAGAGGCCTCCAGGTAAGCAGCTATGTTTCTCCGTCGCTGTCTGCTGTTGACATCGTCAACAGGTAAATGAGTGGCATGAACACACCCTCGGTTTCTGAGCTCCGAAGCCAGTTTATCATTTGGATCGAGTCACCATTCAGTTTGCTTTGAGTCAACAACGAAGACTAGCTTTGAATACGAAACATTTTATCAATTTGTACATCTACGTTAAGGAAAGAGCGTTGCCCTAGACTACTTGGCTGATCTTGCGAGGAAACATTGTGCAAGATGATGCCATGGATGACATTCACTGAGCTACGCCTCGATCATTGTGTCGTTCCATAGGCGTAAAGTTCGAGACAAGACTTCTTCTCACGAATTAACGCATGACCCATTGCAGCAGCGGCGACAATCGACAGCACTACATCTACACTACGCTACCAGCCCTAGTTCCACGCCGCCTGCGCATACAAACCAAAGACCTCGCTCGCCAGGGTGGGCGTGTACGACATCACGTCCGCGTCGGTGTAGTTCTTCTCCGTCTGGATGCTGTTGAGCACGGGGAGGAGCTGGTCCTCGATGAAGTTGATGAACACGAGATCGATTGGTGTGTCGTCGGATACGTTGGGCGCGTTCGAGGCGATAAAGTCGGGCGAGTCGAAGAATGGCAGCGGCGAGTGGAGGACGTCGTCGCCGACGCCCGGGCACGCGTCGTCCGTGACGTACCCGAGCGTCAGGTTCTGCATCGCGCGACGCTCAGGCCCGCTGCGGCGGTCCATGTTCGCGAGCCACGCGCGGTAGACCCGTTCGACATTGCCACGGCCGTACATCTCGCCAAGCTCGTAGAGGCTCCGAAGCGCGCGCTTACGCTCGTCCGCGCCTTCGCCGTTGAGCATGGGCAGCACCTGATTCGCGACGCCGGCGGTGACGTTCGGGATGAAGAGAAACGAGTCCATGAAGGGCAGCGTCGTCAGCTGGTCGTTCTTGTCGAACGGCCCAGCGTAGATGTCGAAGCGCAGCTCGCCCGAGTTGGTGAAGATTATGCTGGGGATGCTCGCACGCGAGTTGTTGATCGCGAGCGCGACGGGCAGCGCCTCCTGCACGAACAGGCTCAGAGCTGAACCGTTGGACGGGTAGGGGTCACGGCTGAGCGTGTAGTCCCGCGGCGCAGTGCCGAAGAGGAAGCTGAGGTCAAACTGGTTGAAGAGCTGCTCGAGGCCCGCAGTGATCTCGCGGCCTTCCACCGTGTCAAACGTCTCATTCTTCTGGCTCGTGTGATATTCGTAGGCGACCCGGTTTTGGTCAAGGTAGCGGCGGGTGAACGACAGGTTCTGCTTGCTGTTCGCCTCGTCGAGGTCGACGCTCATCCAGCCTATAGTCTCCATGTAGCGGCCGCTCTCGAGGGCCATCGAACGTCCATCAAGCTGGACACAGTCACGGATGTGCGAGTGTCCACCAAGGATGAGGATGGGCGTCTCGGGGTGCACCGCACGAACGGCGTTGAACACAGTGGGCCAGTTGTCCCTTCGTACCGGCATGTGTCTGTTTGTTTTATCAATGTGCCATTCTCGCAAGTATGCGCAGAAGACGTACCCCAAAAGGAGGAAAAAGTCAGGCTCATCAGCAATAGCTTCACTGAACCAGCTCTCCTTGACCATGTCCTGCACCGTCTGCACAGTCGTGTTGTGGTCGTTGCCGGTAAAGTCGTACAGAACACCAAGCGATGTGACTGAGCGACCCTTGCGAGTCTTGAACTTGACGAAGCGATCGCCAACGGGAACGCTGACGGGGTTGCCGTCCTTGTCGGCGATGGTAATGTTGACGTTGGACGACAGGTAGCGGCCGTTGAGCTTGGGAACCAAGTTCTGGAGCGTGTCGAGAGTGTCGGCATAGATGTACAGCTCGTGGTTCCCGATCGCCATGACGTCGTACGGGAGCATAGCGATGTACTTGTTTGTCTTTGACGAAAACGTCAGCTATTGAGGACCCTGTGGATCAGAACTGTGACGGTACCCACTTCGTGTCCATCGACACCGCCTGGTGGGAAGCCGTCCGACAAGCCGGTACCGTCGTGGAGATCGCCAGTGTCGACGAGAAGCAGATCGACATCCTTCTCCTGCGCGATGGGGAATCACATCAAGGTCAGCTCAATCAGAAAATCGACGGGTCACGAACTAGAGCAATCTCTTTCATGTGCGAAACGAACGAATAGAAGTCGCCGAGGTCGCCGCTGCGTGCATGTCAAGTCAGCTCTTGCACTTTCGCGAGCAACGCACGCGATCTCACTCGTAGTTCGGCTCGGGGAAAGACTGCTTTTGGTGGCCGAGTAGCCAGCCGTGGGTGTCTGTGGTATGGATGATGTTGACATCACCCCAGACCAGAGGCCGGGTGGGCGGTGTGAGAGGCAGCTGCGGGAACTCGCGCTTATGGGCATCCGCGTGGACGTGTCCCTCCTCGCCAGGGCACGCAAGCGCGGCGGCGCAGAAGGTAAGGAGGGCAAAGGACGTTGGTGCGAGCCTCATCATCGCCGTTAGGGCTGGAGCCAAGGGGGGACGGGGGAGGCTTCGTCCTCCCACGTTTGCCGCCTACGTCAATTTAAATGCGAACGCGCGGGTGATCTGAAGGCCGTCCACGGAAAAAAAATTGGATTCCTCTTGACAAAGAAGCGTCTTACCCCAATAACGACGCGATAGCGAACGTGAGGAGCGGGAAGGCGGTTGGCAGACACGTGTGTCTGTATGTTAATAAATCTGAGAGAGTTGTGCCGAACGAGTGCGGATCACGAGGTGAATAGACGTCGTCGAGTGTGCAAGGGACCCGGGGAGCATGTGCTTTACGACACCTGCCACCGGGAAGATGAGCTAGTGGGGGAACCACCATCCCTAGCCGGACAGCCTTCGGATTCGTCTGATGAGCACAGGCAGCGTGCTAGAAAGGAAGGTGCAGCGATTTACAGCGCAAAATACGACGCAGATAAACGACTGCTTACGTCCGTCTTGAGGCCCTCGAGATGAAAGGAAGCACTTTGACGCTAAACCGTTTTGAACATCTGCACTTTGTGCAGGATGCCGGGGCGACTATTGATTAGTACTGACTCCTGAGTACCTCACGGGCGAGATAGGTCACAAAGTACGTGAAAATAAAGAACTCTTGACAAACTCAAAACGTAGGCTGACATGTTACGAAGGACGATCGTGGTAGACGAGAGCAAATTTCAATTGAATGAACCGGTCTCGGCCAAGGGACCCTTGCGCAGGCCAGAAGATCCACTCGTAAAAGCTCGATTGCTGCCGTGCTTGTATTCCAGCGAATGATAGCGTTAGATAACACATCTGAGGACTGCGACAGGAAATAGGTGGTCGTTGATGGGAGAGTAGTGAAAGACGCCAAAGCCTTGAGATATTTAAGGCTTCAGCTTACCGAGTCAGCTTACAGCAACTGAGGGAGTAATAAAGCGGCTTGAAGTTTGGTAAAGCCAGTAAAGCGTAAATAAGGTTTAAAGATAACAAAATCAGCTTACCGGTCTCAATTGGCTCACACGTGCGTACTCAATATATTCACACTTTCGGGGCTGTTTGTCATCTAGCCTGCGAGATCTCGCCGGTCATAACGTATGTCTTGACTGTGCATCCATGTCTGCTCAGTATGAGTAGTAGAGAACGTGCGGAAACCGTGCAACTGCGAAAGCAGGACGGGCAGACCTTGCGCAGCGTGGGCCACGCTTTTCGTTCCTGGACCTGCATCATGACTGCCGCAAACGTTCTCTTCCCCATCCCACATGCCCAAATTGTTTCGGGTTTCACGACTGCCCCTGCTGTCTCTCTGGCGCACGTTGCGCACGTTGCGCTATCCGACTCCAACCTCGGCGTACACAAGGTCTCTCGTCACTCGCACGATGTTGTCGTCCCACCTTACGCAGACTCAGCACATCCCGCTGCCTGGGAGGCCGTCTTTGCGCAGGGTAGCATCAACCCCGGGAACAAGACGGCGCCGCCAGGCGGCTTTGGGTTCTATATGCACGGTCCGGAGACGTGGCGGCACGAGCTCGAGCGGTGTGGGGGGCGGCAGGAGGTCGTCATGAGCTACGAGGTCCTGTTTGAGGATGGCTGGGAGTGGCAGAGGGGCGGGAAGTTGCCGGGCATCTGTGCGCTCTGAACTCTGTCTTTTCGTGTCTTGGACGACTAAGTTGATCCTCTTGCGCGCACGCGAGTCAAGACGGCGGCATCGGCGCGTTCGCGTACGGGTGCAGCGGCGGACGACAAGAGAGTCGATGCAAGTGCTTCGATCTGCGGCTCATGTGGAGGTAAGTGGCTTCCTTGGTTCACTAGGCGGCCGGTGCTCACGAGGGGAACGCAGGCAGGGCGGCAAGAGCGAGCTCTATGCCTACATCCCGCTGAACGACACGAACACCGCCGCGCTCTTGAACGTGCCACAATCACACCGCAACCCTGATTACGGTTTCTCTGTTGGCCGTGGCCTCTGGACGTTCGCACCGGGACACTGGACGGTCGTCGCAGAGCGCGTGAGGATGAACACTGTGGGTCACGCAGATGGTATGCTTCCCTCCACCGAGTCTCCTTCAGGATACGGTTGATCGCGCATACACACAGGCGAAATCGAAGTCTTCATCGATGGCCAGTCCGTGCTCCACGCTACAGGGCTCATTCTGCGCGACACTGACGCGGCTGAGTCCTCCGTTCAGGGTCTGCACTTCCAGACGTTCTTTGGAGGTGCGTCACCAGCTTACCACTTTGGCGCTTCAACCTTTGTACGTTTGATGACATGTATTCTTACACAGGGAGTTCGGAAGAGTGGGCGTGCCCGAAAGACCAGAAGGCGTGGTTCACGAACGTCTCTGGTGCCATTTTGAGGGCGGAACCTGCCCACGACGAACTCTGAATTATCTTGTCTTCGAGACCGGGAAGGTTCGGAAACCAGAACTGGACGAACTGTGTACTCTACGGAATATCTGATCAAATAATTCACATACCTGAAGTCAGGTCGCCAGCAGTGACATCTTTTCCCTCTGCAAGACGATCATGTTTATGGTGCTCGTTTGTGCCCTGCTTTTGGAAGACTTTTTCGACGACGAAGTCGACTGCGTGGTGCGTAGTAGATCCTGGACGCGCCAGACAGGAACGCGATGGGGCTCGGTGAGGTCCACCGACTGGTCGCGGAACGAGGCCGATGGCACAGCCGACAGAGTCTCAGCAGTCCTACTATGAGGCAAGTCAGACGACCTCTAGCAAGACCACCTGCACGGGGCGTGTTGAGCTCAACAATTTGCCGCGCGTGCCTGAACAGCGGCGTAGTTTCAGGCTGATTGCCTCCGCATCAGGTGAGTTCAGCATGTCGGCATTTCGGTACCCTCGAACTAACTTTCGAGCAATTCTCGCTTCACGTGGTAACAAAGAGAATATTCTTGAGCTGCAGCCGTGCGAGCAGCTGCTGCGACTCGAATATCCAATGTCGTAGTTAATCTTTGCTACACGACAGTTTCCCGGAGGAATCATGTATAGCCGGAGTCTGGGATACTTGAGAACATGAGCGTGAATTTCGATTATTCGATGAAGCGAAGCTTCTCTATGTGCCATGTAAAAGCTAACACTACCATATATTAGGTCACCGCTGACATCATCTGTCAGATGTTCTGCAAAATTCGATCGCGAGGACCGATGGGCGGTCCGGGTCGCCTGCACTATACGCCCGCGTACCCTCGATCATAGGTGGGCCAGCGTCGCGCAACCGTATTTTTCGTCAACGACGGCAGCTTTGCGCAGGGTCATACGAGCGATCGCTGGTCATGAAGGTCGTCGCGTTACTGGTGAGACAAGACCCCACGGGGTTGTGGAGACCGCGCGCGACGATACGGTCGTTTCAAGCAATCCTCGAGTGCGTCAATCAGCGTCCCCCACATGCTTCTTTGCATGCTGCTTCTTGTTCCTGGGTCTGCTGACCTTCTAAGCCCACAGGCGACCTGCTGTTTGTGATGCATATTCGCTCTGCCGTCCGTCGGCTCCTAGTCGGCTCTCGCGCTGTTCGAGAGGGATCCCGCCTCGTCCAATGGAAGTGGCGCGCCCCTGCGCTCGTTTTGGGTGCGAGGACCTGGACCGGGTCGCGGCTCGCCACCCGGTGCATTCTGCGTGCTGTCGGCCTCCAAATGCAGCAATCAGAAAGGTCCGGGGGACCCTCGATGTCAGGTTGTCAATATGCTGATGGTCTCACTAGCTTTCACACCACCACCCCATGACAGGCCCGCAAAGTACGGCTGCGTATATTGGGGGTCTGATGTGTTGCATTAGGCACGAGTCACACGGCCCGCCGCTATAAAGCGGACGTAGAGCTCAAAGGTGAGGATTTTCCGACAACTCGTCCTCCACTGCTCCCCACACCTCTGATCCTCGCGAGGACAAGTACGAGCAAGCAGTCGTCACTCAAGATGGGAAAGGCTGTATGTTTTCTGGCGTGACCGGCAACAGTACTTTGTGGCGCTGACACTCCTTTCCATTTCCCGGCCGACAGTACAGTGCACGCATCGCGTCGAACCCTTACATCGTAGGCTCGTTCGCATGTATCGGCGGCGGTCTCTTCGGTCTGGACATCTCGTCCATGTCCGGAGTGCTCAGCGTGCGTTGTGTTCACATTTTCGCTTCCACCTTACCTCATCTGACGCACCACCACAGAATGATGCCTATATGGACACGTTCGGTAACCCGGGCTCGAACGCCCAGGGAGCCATCGTCGCAGCTATGCCCGCCGGCTCGCTCGTCGGTGCCCTCATTGTCAGTAGCCTCGCGGACAAGATTGGCCGCAAGCGTGTCATCATTATCTCCGGATGGATCTGGGTCATTGGTAGCATTCTGCAGTGCGCTGCAGTCGTACGTCACCCGTTCCCTTTATTACAAACAAATCTAGAGAGCTGATCATTGGATGCAGGACCGCGGAATGCTTGTCGCAGGCCGTGTTGTCTCCGGTATCGCCGTCGGTCTCGCCTCCGCCGCTGTCCCGCTCTATCAGTCTGAAATCACCGCACCCGCCATCCGTGGCCGCCTCGTCTCCATGCAGCAATGGTCCATCACCTGGGGTATCCTTCTTCAGTACTTCGTCGAATTCGGTTGCTCGTACATTAATGGCACGGCATCGTTCCGTATTCCTTGGGGTCTGCAGATGATACCCGCTATCATCCTGAGTCTTGGCATGTTGGTGTTCCCGGAGGTGTGTTTCCTCCCGCGTTCTCTCACCGAGACAGCTAAAGCTCACCGGTTCTCGACAGAGTCCGCGTTGGCTCATTGACCATGACCGGACGGACGAGGCACTGGAGATCCTAGCGGACTTGCATGGCCAGGGCGACCCACATGTACCGCTCGTTCAGCTCGAGTTTGCGGAGATCAAGGAGCAGGTCCGCTTTGAGCGTACTGAAGGCGCCAAGTCCTACCTCGACCTCCTCAAGCCCGGCATCTTCAGGCGTGTCGGCCTCGGCATGAGTCTGCAGATGTGGAGTCAGCTGAGCGGTATGAACATCATGATGTAAGCCAGAGTTCATTCCGCTTCGTGGACAGCAGAGCTGACAGATCCACAGGTACTACATTATCTATGTCTTCCAGGGCGCTGGTCTCACTGGTCGCCGCGGAAACCTCATTGCGGACTCGGTGCAGTACGTGCTGAACGTCGTCTTCACCATTCCTGCCATCATCTACATCGACCGCTGGGGCCGTCGCCCCATGCTCCTCATCGGTACCTTCCTCATGGGCTTCTGGCTCATGCTAGTAGGTGGTCTGCAGGGCGGCTTCGGACAGTGGGGCGAAGTCAGCGGATCCCGTGAGTTCCATCGCCGATGCCTCTGGTGTTCAGCGCACTGACCAGATATTGTCGTTATGCAGGCGTCTGGGTCATCGAGGGCCACGACAGTGTCACGAAGGGCATTATTGTCTGCTCGTATCTCTTCGTCTGCAGCTTCGCGATCACGATGGGCCCCGTCTCGTGGACGTACCCGGCGGAGATCTTCCCGATGCGCGTGCGTGCGAAGGCGGTCTCGGTCTCGACGGCGGCGAACTGGCTGTTCAACTTCGCGCTTGCGTGGGCGGTGCCGCCAGGCTTGTCGACCATCGCGTACCGGACGTACTTCATCTTCGGCGCGTTCAACTTTGCCGCGTTCATCCACATCCTCTTCTGCTTCCCCGAGACGGCCGGCCGCACGCTCGAGGAAATCGAGGACGTCTTCACGCAGGGACACATCTTTACCGCTTGGCGCGTCGACAGGCACGTCGGAGAGAAGACGCTCGAGCAGGTCATCAACAAGGAGCAGGTCGACTCGCAAGACGACCACTACTCCGAGAAGGCGTAAACGGGCTTGCGAGTCGTTATGGACGAGACGAAACTCTGTTATGTTTGAAGTCACTTCACCCTTCTTTGTGCTCTTATCTTCTACCGCATTGCCTCTTGTATGTTCCGTACTTCGTACCAGTATCATATGCATTCTTCTTTCCTGGAAGCTGTTGCCACGAAGGCGAGGCCGGCTCGGAGGGCGCTTATATGGGCGGCGCATCAAGCACTTATGGTATGGTGTAATTGGTTATCACACCTGCTTAGCACCCGACGCGACGGACTTCAATACCCAGTGTGCCTAGCTTTTTAGCTCCATCTTTTCCTCGCGGTGCTCGACATCTGTCACCTGCGTTCATCATCTGATGTCGACTTTTTATTCCGTTCAGACCCTCTCTGCAGCCTTTTGCAGTGTAGGGCCACAGAAAATTTCACGTAGGTGGCTATCCATGCACCCAAACGAAGGATATGCGGTGTCGCACGTTCTACTGACTGCCGCTACATCCGTGTATTAGGTTGACCTAAGCTCAGGCCCCTATGCGGCTTTTGCACACTGCCATCTCTCGTTTGCTTCCATTATCAGAAGCCATGCGCGTTCGGAGGTACACGAGAAGCCGCTTCGCAAGATCAACTCTGAAGCACCGACGGAATAGGGTGGCGCATTTGCGCTGGCGAAGCGGAAAGCGGGATGCTCCCTGATGCTTGTGAAGTCGACATATATGAGACACCCAAGCCCGGACCCAACCTTCTAGATTTTGTTCTCGGTTTGCTGGTCAACCACGATATGTATTCTCTCCTGGTTCTCGAATGCGCGGCTCTGCTGGCAGAAGCCGTGGTGTATGGTGCGTCACTGTTTTATTCCTGCACTGTTGGGACGTCTGTAATCAAAGAAATCTAGGTATTTATGCTGTCACGTTTTCGGTGACGATCGTCGTTCTTCTGTACGTCCTATTTATTCAGCGGGGTATCTTCAGGCCGACGGATGTAACGCAGCTCGAGGAAAAAGTCACCCGCGCTGAGCGCTGTCACTATTGCGATGTTCGCGCTCTCTACGGCGCACTTGGCCATGCTTGCATCGTCCATTCTTCGTCATATTCATGACGGCGACATTGAAGAGCAAATGAAGTTTCGAGAACGCGCTTATCCGGAGCCATACCTGCAGATTGTCTTGGAGTGCGTGAACGTAAGGCCCTTAACCTCTGCATTCAGTCCAAGTCAAGGCCGCTGATCATGCTCCTAGTGTATCCTGGGAGATGGCATCATAGCGTGGAGAGCCTGGGTCTTATGGAACCGCAACCGACTGGTCATTGCCCTTCCCGCGGTTCTGCTTGTGGGAGCTCTGGGTGAGCCACGGCGAATTGCGGAGAAGGAAATACTTACGCTAGTTCTTCTTCATAGCATCCAGTGCTGGCCTTTGCTATGCCGTCGTGGTTGCACCTGCGGGAGTTGACACGTTCACGTCCAGCCGGGTGCAACACTGGGGCGCCGCCACCCTCGGCCTGACCTTCATCACGAACCTATGGGGCGTGATCCTCATTGCACTGCGGTACCGGTACGAGAACACGTTCACCTGAAACAGCCGCGACATTGATCTTCAATCCCTACTTCCGCAGCGTGCACCAGAAGCACATCGCCCCGGTGCTCGGATCACACAGGCCGCAGGCCCACTTGTCATCACTTGCTGTGCTCTTGTTCCTGCTCGAGACCGGCAGCCTGTACTGTTGCACGCTGGTGAGTTTCAGCTGGAGCGATCTGTCAGGGCAGATCAAAACAAGCTGACGGTTCCGTATCTGCTGCAGATTGCCGTGGTCATCACGTTCGTGGCGCGCACGGACGGCGTGTACGTGGTGCTGGACCTGTTGGCGCAGTTCACGGTACGTCTGTAGGCGCACAGGGAAAATCGTACTAGAGCTCACAAGGTGTTCGTTGGCTGCAGGGCATTTATCCGACTCTGATAGTCGTCTTGGTCAGTCTCCGGCAGACGCAGTCCAGCGACGTCGAACGAATGGAGAGCGTTCTCATACCGGAGATCGTTGAGAATGATCTGCCATAGCAATGCGATGCGGAACAGGCACCTTGAGAATTTCCCGCGCTCATAGCTGTCATGATCAGCGGCTCGCGAAGGCCGCTAGCGTCAAAAAGCTCGTATTATCCACATGTATTCTCAGACTCGCTCGTTAACATGCAAAGACACCGACGGTGTGCCCCTTATTCAGGATAGCAATCGCCTGGTCGATATCTACGAACCAGCCGAAGCCCTTATCGTTGTTACCCGTACCCGTGGAGACCTGGTACATCAGCGACTTGAGCGCGGAGGTGTACGGGAGGCCCTGCACGTGGAGGTGCAGATGATATATGGAATTGAACGGCGGGATCACGTAGCCCATGCTATACCGTTTTTGGTCAGAAGAGGCGGAGCGAAGTCTGGAGGTGGGCATACCGGCGCAGGTCCTTCGCGACGTTCAGCTGGTCCAGGATGGAATGTCCGATCTCGTTCATGCGTTCAACTGCGGAATTGTCAGCGCGCAAGCGACGAAGAGGAGAACCTATTCAGACCTAGCGCCACATCCGCCTGGTGCAAAGACTTGATGCTATCTGTGGACGTTTGAGTCAGCGACGACGATATCTCTGGATGCAAGCGCACCGATGTGCCTCTTGGGGATGAGCAAGACGTGATGCTGAGCGGCCGGGCTACGATCGCTGAAAGCTATGAACTCGTCGTCCTGAAAGAAACGTCGCTTGAATCAAGCCCTTCAAGCATGAATAAACTTGATGTACTACCTCCCAGACGATGTTGAAACCCCGAGCTGCGCTAGCATTGCAGAAGACACATCCGGGTTTTGTTTGCTGAGTACTCATTCTGGAGACACGATAACTGGTTAACAGACAGACGAAGTTCAACCTAGCGGCTTCTTATGTGTAAACCTTCGATCGCAACAAGCTTCTTACATCAGGTGATGATCACATAGCTGGGCAAGAGCGCACCCGCAGTGGAGGCGCCGCAAGACAAGCAGCCAGAAAATCACATTCTGCATGGGACACTCGGTACAACGACGGGATGCTGAGACAGCTCCCGGCGCCGGAGAGGAAGCTTAGAGCGTCGATATCTCCAAATGTGCCACATCCTACATTGAGGCTCCTCTAAGATCCTTGGGAGAAAAATCTCGATACAGCAGCAACAATTAGCGATCGCACTGGGATGGCTCCGACACGCGTCAGATCAGCTGGGGATGAGGCCGGAGAGCTGGGCGGACGTGAGTCGGAGAAGTGTATGAACGTGATGTTGAAATTGCACATGCTGTACAGAGAAACTAATCGTTGCATCGCTAAAATGGATGAGAAAGAGGCGGTCGAGACTGTGACGCACGACAAGGTAGTCATGGTGTCGGGTCCGAAGTTTAAGGTCTTACAGGGTTAGGGTCTTCGACTAAGGCAAGGCGTTGGTAATCAGCACCACTTTCCAAAGAGGCATAGCCGGTACGCCATCGGAGTCGTCGAGGGGTTTGAGTGTCAGATGGTGAACATAGCTCGATAGAGGCGCAGCGTCCGAAACACCGTCTCTGGACAAGAAAGAGAGGGTCTCTTGGAGATTTTGACCTTGGGCTCTGGGGTCCAGCTGTAGATTGTTGGAAAGACAGTGCCGAGATGCTCGTCTCCACGAGCGACTAACTAGGGCGCAGGAGGCCCAACATCCGGTGATTGTCGTGGAGATGCTCAAGAACATAATCAGCGAGTTCTTAAGGGAGATGGGAGAATGAAATACAGACAGTAGCCCCGCAATCCTCCGGAAATGTGATGAGCAAAATTTTGCAAGGAATATTGCCGGAAGACCTTACCGTCGATAGCGGATGACGGTTTTAACAGCGACAGCCTCCGTGGAAGGCCGTTACTTTGTGGCGCCTAGATTAAGTGATCCGGACTGATCCTGCTCTGGGCGTTTGCTTCACAGGGGCAGCTTTCTTCATGCCTTTCACTTAGTACTGGGTATAGGTCGGTGCGTGCGCGAGCCTATCTAGCCGTGGTCTGATTTCTGACATATTATGTGCACGATATTCAGGGCAACTCTGTTCCTGTTCTGTTTAATTGCAGCACGTTCCCCGAGTCCGACCGACTTCCAAACCACGAACGTGCGTTTGGGCATTTGGAGAGAAATATTGCAAACGCGCTGCGGACATTCCATGGACGTTTTCAGAGACATGGCAAATAGTACACCAATTCGAAACGTGTTATGGGTATGATGAGCGGAAGGATACCACGACGATTCCCTGCAACCAACCCCTCGTTCTCGCATAGGCCCATATACCAAAACTCGCTTTGGAAAGTCTCTCCCATGAGTGCTCTTCGCGGTGCCTCGATCTTCTCACGCTTAGGTCTAGGTCCTCCGAGTGCTCGGCACACCCAGCAGATATATAACCTCTGCGGCTTCTAGTGCTGGGAATTATGACGGAGTTTTCAGACACTGCAAACCTCTGAACACGAAGATGATCGCCATTCCGTCTATCCTGGTCGCGTTCTGCTGTTTCGCGAGTGCTGTAGCGAGGTTCAACCCGCTGCACCACTCAGGACCTGCGGCACCATACTTCGACGCGCCCCACGAGGACGGCATACCGGAGAGTACCCCAGACGGCTGCGTAGTCGATCAGGCGGCTTATATCCTCCGACATGGAGCGTACGTAATATCTAAACAATCTATGAGCAGTTGCACTAAACTTTCCTTAGACGGTATCCTGAACCAAGCGACTTCACTGGCTGGCAAACACTCTTCCAGAAGTTCCAAAACGCGACATACACCGCTACTGGACCACTCAAATTCATCCCGACCTGGGTACCCCCCGTCGATGACCCGGATCACGAGCCTCTCTTTCTAACGTCCACAGGCGCTCTGGAAGCCTTCCAACTCGGTGTCGAGTTGCGACAGCGCTACCGACTTACACCGGGCGGTAACAACTTCACGGTTTGGTACGCCTCTTCCTGGTGACAACATGATCGTGTGTTCACCCATGGCTAGGTCCGCCGGCCAGCAGCGTGTAGTCGACACAGCTACATACTTTGTGCGCGGCTATCTCTCCCAAGGGAATTACCTGACAACACCAGACGAGAACCGTGGCTCCGTCGTCGTCATGCCCGACTCTGTGAACTACACATTCGCGGACTCGCTGACATCCTCAAATGGCTGCCCCAACTTCAACTCGGGAAACAACGGGTCGGCGCAGCAGAGTACCTTCGCCGCGACGTACCGGCAAGGCATCGCAGACAGGCTCAACCAATACCTCGACGGCCTGACTTTGGACGCTACGGATATCGGACCCATGCAAGACCTCTGCGGCTTCCAGACTGTGATTGATGGTGATATGAGGTTCTGCAAGGTCTTCGAAGGTGGGCGCCATTTCAATGCAGGGTCGATGTACACGCTTATCTTTTCTAGATCAGGAATGGCGTGACTATGAATACGGTGCCGATTTGAACTACTATTACGGGTGAGCAGCGTAGCTGAGTTATGTGGCTTGCGCTTGTGCTGAACTGCCTGCAGTTCAGGACCCGGCAACCCATTCTCCGCCACCGTAGGCTTTGGCTGGCTTCAGGCTGTCACTGATCTCCTCGTCGCTGGACCAAACGCTACGATGCCGAATGCTACTTTCACACCACCTCCGCTCGTCACGAGCTTCACGGTAAGTTCATAACGTAACCATTCAGGGCTGCATCGCTAACGCGCCGGCAGCACGACAACGACCTCCCAGACATCATCGCCGCCCTCGGAATCTGGAATACCTCGGACATTCCCGGAGTATACCCGCTGCCAAATGACCACATACCCGAAGGCCGTCGTGAATTCGTCGCGTCGCATCTCGTCAGCTTCCGTGGATACGTCGCCTTGGAGCGCCTCTCGTGCGGAGCGACGCTGCCAAGCACGGTGAACCACACCTCTGGGCAGCTCGTCCTCCTTCCCGGTGAGGGCACCGACGCGCAGAAGTTCATCCGCGTCAGAGTAAGTGTCCCCTGTTCTTTGCGTGCGAGCCCTGAGCTGACGGCGATGCTCTGCTCGCAGGTCAACCACGCCGTCGTCCCGCTACCCAACTGCACGTCGGGGCCGGGCTTATCGTGCCCGCTGGCGTCGTTCGCGGACTACGTTTACAACGAGCGCGCTGCCGCCGCGGGCGACTTCATCCAGGTCTGTGGCCTGCAGAATGTCTCGAACGCGACGGGCGCGATAGACTTTTTCACGCAGGTGCCGTCCGTGAACGCCCAGTCCGTCGTACTGGAGCTTCCGGTTCTCTGAGCTTTCCTGTTTCGCTTGCGCCATTCAAAGACAGTCATCTCTCCGCGATGTAGCATGGGAATTTCACATTTGAAAAGGGTATATACAGTGGCACTTTCGCGCTTACAGCTGGAACAGATGATACTTTCAATGACTTCGCACGAGTTTGTTGTGTGATTCGTAGAGCTACGCTGATGGACCATCATGAGACTAGCCCGCCAGTCAAGCGTCATTCTTCAGCAGTGTTTGCGAATGTCAGGGACCAGATACTTCCCATGGATGCTATGCTTCTCAGGCTGAACCTCAGCTGTTCATGAAGCTCATTATACTACGACGAAGACCAAAATAACGCCGCGTTTTAGGGTCTCTTCTTGGCCTTTGATCCTCACGCAACCTGAAAGTATATCAAGAAGATCTCTGCAGCTATACCGGCTCTGCGGAAGATCAAGATTCACGTTGAAGCAACTGTAAATCGTTACCGCCAAGGCAAGAGTCACAGCATTCCCGAGAGGGAAGAGGATGTTGCAAAACCTCAAGAGCAAAGCAGAGAACTCATGTTTATACAGCTAACCGACACCTTACAAACTCGAGCGACATCGCAGAAGACTACATTGGAAAGGGCTGCGAGCCAATTAAGCTACAAGCTACAATCACAAGGTGTACATTACCCTGTGTATGTAGGTAGCACTTTAAAAACCATAAATATATATATAAAGCTACAATTACAAGCCACGGCTTCCCTGTCTCTCGCATTCTTGAATCCACCATGAGTGCCATAGAATCTGCAGGAGCTTCGGGAAATGTTGAAGCGCAGCGCACGCAGGTGGCAAAAGCTTTAGGCAATTTGGAAAGGCTTACCAGACATGCTTCTGGAGGGGAACGAAGACGAGCTGCTTGCGAGGTACTTCACTGGCATTGACGTCGAGGATGATTGGCCATACAAAACTATTGATACCCAGTGGACACGTGCTTTTCCTCCGGAGAGCTCCCAGGACGAGTATCAAGTGCCCACAGCTTCATGAAATGCTTGTCTACACATCTAAATATGCACAAGAATAATTCCCTGTTTCTAATGGGTGAGAAAGTGCGGTGGCTAGTACAGCTCACAGCCAGAACATGAGTGTTTCTTTTGCTATCTAGTGTTCAGACTCCCTACCGGCCATCATTGTTACAGCGTCAATGCCGCGAGAGATGCATTGCCACCAGGCTCTCGGGCAGCCGAAGACCTCTCGGGCAGCAGTGTGGGCGCTGCTGAGGACTCGATCTGTGCCATCTCAGCCAACGACACGGGGTAAATCTGGAAACAAGCGGGAAACATTGCATGACAATGGTGAGTACTTGAAGCAAAACTTAACAATCGCACTAAGAGCTCTTACCTATCCACACAGATGACCCTTTGGACAAAGGACCTGCGCTTCAATCTGCAAACACCACTTGGACGGTAAACCCATTTGACAGACCTGGCACATGCGGTAAATACCAGTAAACACCAGTAAATATCGGCTTTCCTGGTAATTACTGGTAATTAGAGGTGTTCGCTTTGAACAATAGACACCTCGGCAAATTTTCAGAACCTGGAGTTTTGCTACTTGTTTTCTGCGTGTCACGATGAAAAATGTGTCCCCATACAAACATTTCTCGGCCGCCCATGGTGCACACCAACGGGTAATTATTAGAGGAATCTCCGCTCCCTGAGAGCATGCAGCAGCCCCGCTACATGTATAATAGAGTGTATATAGCTCATTAGGAATGAGGCGGATGTGTCCCTCATGCCGCCAGCAATTCAATTTTACTCCCTCGTGGTCGGGGTGTCCAAAGTCTACGCGCGCTTCAGTCGCGTTTCGCTTCGCTCGAAACGACTCTCGAGCGGCCGTGAATCGGTTTTGCGCGCGAGCTTTGAACACCCTTATTGCTGTGCCCTAAAGTGAAACAGGCGCTCTAACGAGCCAGTGCACTTTGCTTCCAAAGTCTGATGCACTGGCCGACAGAGGCCGACAGTCACGGTGTTTACATGTCGGAGTTTAGAACGGATGGGAACGAGCCTACGTGAAACTCGTATGACCGCGCCGCCGAAATTGGACGGCGACCTTCTTGCTGTTCGCCTTGTCCTTTGGCAGTGTGTAGCTTTTAAGCTTGACGACAACTTACGAGCACGGCAATAACGATGAGCAAGACGAAGACAACGGCGAAAACGGCTGGCGGCAGCCGCCTCAAGAAGTGGTTCTTCCGGCTCATCGCTGTTGCTGTCCTCTACGTGACGTGCCAATATCTCGACACCATCAAGGTTTGTATCGTATCTGTACGCATGCTTTCAGCAGACTGACACGCTTTGGTGCAGCATCGATGGTACGTCTTCGAGCCTGAGAGCCTACACCAGCTCGCGAAGGCGGCCATCGCGGCATCGCCAGATCCAAATGATGCCTGGTTCATGACGAACTACATCGTGAAGAACCTCACCGAGACATACTCGCCCACTCAGGTTGCGCTGAACCTGGACACTTCAGAGTGGTTCTTCAGCAATGCTGGCGGCGCAATGGGCGCGATGTATGTCATCCATGCAAGCATCACCGAGTACATCATCATCTTTGGTACTCCGGTCGGCACCGAGGGACATACAGGCATACACACTGCAGACGACTACTTTAACGTTCTTGTCGGTGAACGGTGGGTGTTCTCGCCGCCGAACCTGCAGATGGAGAGGTATCCTGCTGGGTCGGTCCATCACGTGCCGAGGGGCCAGATGAGACAACACAAGATGCATGAAGGGTGTTTCGCGCTGGAATACGCCAGAGGTATGTCTGGACACGAACTCTACGTGTCCTCCTCGCTTACGCTTTGACACAGGGTGGATCCCTCCGATGATGCCGTTCGGCTTTGCGGACATTCTGTTCTCGACGCTTGACTATGTGACGTTCTATCAAACACTCCACATTCCGGGCCGCGAGACGTTGAAGAACCTTCTCATTGGAAAGATTTAGATGTCAATACACAACGCTTGTTTCTTGCTTTCTCGTAGTAAAGTGTGATCCAGTCTCGTTCACACAAATCCGCTCTCTCTTGCGGCTATATATCAGAGGCGTTCAGAGTACGTGATTCTAGAGGTGATTCTGGGATAAACCCAAGGTGATTCTAGAAATAATTTGTCCCAGAATCAGAATCAGAATCACCCCCCACTCTGAATGCCCCCTTCAAGAGTGTGATTCTGAGCTAGTTCCTCGGTAAGCATAACTGTAGTACATCAACAAAGATAAGTACAGATATCTTATGTATGTAATATTCGTCTGCGTTCAATTTGAGCGTCTCCTCCACCGCCCTGCTACTATTGGTCTGCTGTGTCTCTCGGTTGACATGGCTTGGTATACGCTATGACAGGCATATACTCGCAAGCTCAAACAAGCTTAAATGCGGTACACAAAGGCCCGCCTCTCGATACTGAAGTACTATCATGGGTAGGGATAAAAAACTACAATTTAGTAAAGCATAAGCTATCCGAATATTTATGGGAATATATTTGTGTTGGAGTAGCAGTCCAACAGAAAGGGCGAGGAAGGTATGACAGGCATGAAAGTGAATAAAACATGAGAGAATCACATGCAGAATCAGCTCCGGAGGTGATTCGACACCCATGTGTGATTCTGGCCCTCTGTCAGCAACTAACAATCCACCTGGACTGAGCTACGACAAAGCTGAGGAGACAGACGAGAGGAGAGTGAGTGAGGAAAGACCAGCTCGAGTCTGGCTTGTTATTGAGCAGTACAGGCTCCTTATATACATGTCAGACTGAATACCTAGAATATCCTACGAATATACGGAGGTGTATAGAAAGTGAAAGAATACCATGGAATCCGGGAGAGCCATCCGGATTGTGTAATATTCATGACATTACCCCCCCGTCTAGAATCGTGTCCTCACGATTATTTACCCGTCGATCCAAATCCTCCTGATCCTCGTTGAGTCTCTGTCAAAGTTGACACCTCCTCGATATCACATGACGCAATGCGTTCCAAAATGACTTGTGCGATCCGATCGCCAGCGTGTATTTGAAAGGGTTGATTCGTGGAGTTGATCATCACTACGCGTACTTCTCCGGTGTAATCTCGGTCTACTACTCCAGCGCCGACATCTATCCCTTTGACTGCTAATCCACTTCGCGGAGCAATTCGTGCATACGTTCCGTGAGGTGCGCGCATTGCTATGCCGGTGCCGACGATTTTGCGGTCTCGTGCCGGTATCTTAGTGCTTTCAGCCGAATAGAGATTCAACCCAGCCGACTCTTCGGATCCTTGCTTCGGGAGAATTCCACCCATTCGTTGTACCAAAAGAGTGGAATCGCGTGCGAGTATGTGGACAGGTCGTGTTAATAGAGGGGGGATTCGGATTATCATAGGCGCAGGTTTGTCGGGGCGTCTAGCGTGGAATTCCTCCAGGAGTTCTTGACAATTGGTCAAGTTCGCTCGTGATTCCCAGGAACGGCGATCACCGTGGGGACTATTCTTCCAAAGAACCTGATATTCAAGATTTCCATTTCTATCACGACGAGAGTCAAGAATGTCTTCGACTTCCCATTCTTCCTCGCCATTTACAAGTCGGGACTATCGGTTCTCGTCGTTGTGATGGATATACAGTTCTTTGAAAGGACTAAGTAGACTTTC